GTATGTATCATTTAACTATATTTATAATTATATGTATTACATATCTATTAAAAGGACTGGGGCTTTTGTCTCTTAAGTTGGGTTCTCCTTTAACCATTTACAGAATGTATCATGCAAGTGCCTTACTACATTGCTGAATCAAACCTAAAAGAAGAAAAAAGTAAAAATTGGCACCGGCATACTAAGCATTTTATAGGGTAAAATAATATCAGTACTTCCACTGCCACTTTTCTTTTTTTCTTCTTTTATATCTGATGCAGTAATGTAGTAGGGCACCTGCCTGATACATATACTTCTTATTAATTGCTAATCACCAAAAACTTGCAGACTACTGACCTGCTATTGCTTCTGGCTTTGGTGCACGACTTACTCTAAAGGCCCACCCAGGGCTTCCCTGCCTCTGCAGATGTCAGTGAAGGCACCAAATAGTGATTCTTTCACCCTGCTATGTGGCCTTTGGGAAGAAATCGGCTCTGCCTCTGCATGCTGTTGGGAGGGCACAGAAGGCCACATAGGTACCTAGTGTGGAAGATGTCACCCTGCTGGGTGGACAGCAGACATATACAGCAACAGACAGAGGCAGGGCACCCTGGGTGTGCCATTTTCTCCCCAAAGGCTACACAGCGGGGTGACAAAAAGCACTGTTATATGCCTGTGCAGTCTTTATTGATGTCTGAATTGGCAGAGAAGAAAACATCCCATCCAGGGTGCCCTGCTTTTGCCTGCTGTTGCAGATATCACTGAAGTCTGCACAGGCACCTAATGGTGATGATATCACCCTGCTTTGTGGCTTTTGGATAATAAACTGTTAGTCGCAGTGTGAATTTAAACATTTGGGACAAACATAGATCTATATTTAGACAAAAAGGTTAAACATTACATAAATAATAATAAAAAGGGGCAGACTCAATGGACCACTTAGTCTATTCCTGCAGTCACTTTTCTATGTTTATATGTTTCAGTGTGGGAACTTACATCCCCCAAACAGTTCTGCTGCTGGATTTCCACATACTACAGTATATATGTTCAGCAGCAACAGGGAGGAGGGGGAACATTTTTCATTAAAAAAAAAAGTTTGTACACGTGGCACTGCACCCCTAACCTGCCATCCATGGCACCCATTGTGGCAAAAATGGTTTGCTTAGGTTACTATTTAGGTTTAGGGGCTCACTGCTAACATGGGGTAGAGGTTAAGTGCTAAGGGCACACTTTAGGTGTTAGATTAAGTGTTAGGCTTGGAGAGGTTTTAAAGTGGAGAAGTGTTAAAGGACAAGTAGTGTAAGGGGGTTGTTAAGTGCTAAAGGACAAGCTAAGGCCAGGTTGTTGAAGATATGAATAAGTGTTAAGCGCTGGCTTTAAGGTTTTGAGCATGCTTGCACTGGCTGTTACTTTCTTTGTTCCTGCTTAACGTGGCAGAGTGGGTAACCCCTAAGCTTAACAGACAGCACTCATTGGATTTGAAGCACCATTGCAATGTTCCTAGCCATATAAAGGGGAAGTGCTGACACTAGTGCTGGCAGTAGAAACGTGGCGCTATGGAGGAAAGAGCTGTGAAGACAAAAACATGCCTGGAACACGTGCCGAATTTCTGCCACTAATTAGTCTGAAAGTGATTCCAGCAACAGATCATTGATTGCCACTTTATTCAGAGAAGTACCTATTATCTTGAACATTTATGGCTACATTCCAAGTCCCTGTGTGGTCCGGGTGTATCAGTAACATACATCTAGGTCTCTTTCATTTCATTAACAAGAAAGGGTCGGAGTGAAATCTCCTCCACACGTATTGTCCACAGGCACCTTTTTCAAATGCTAGGAATGCTTTAATCCTTGATTTAGCTTCATATGTGATTGACACTTACATCCATTAAGAGAAGCATCATAACCAGCAGTGTGTAAAGCCTCTTTGCTGCCCGCTGAACTGCGTGGCGGTGTCCAGGGGTCAATATACGACCGAGCCTTCATTTCCTCCTTTAGAATCAATCTTCCAATGCTGCCCTGAAGCTAAAATATAACATTCAATTTACTTTCAGCCATTACCCTCATGTGTACTAGCTAAGCATATTAAAGAGAAATCAAGCTAGTTGGCAATACCAAGTAAAGAATAAAACAACTTTTCTATTTAAATGAAACCTTTTTAGAATATGTATGTCTACCCCTCTATGGTGGTAAGGTCTCCTCAGATTTCAGCAATGGTATACTATCAATTTCATACACATAAAGATATTATTTCACTTTGGTGTATTTTCTTTCTGGCAAGATGACTACTGCAAAGCAAAACAATCCATCTGTATCTAATCAATAGGGTCTAAAAGACTTAGGGCTTCATTTCTAAAACTTCCACCTGGCGCACAGCTGGACAGATGTTGTTTGCCTGGCACTAGCACCCCTAGATGATGCTGACAAGTAAAGGAATTCATATGCCAGGCAGAAGTTTTATAAAAGAACTCCATAGAGGGCCTACATTGCTTGTTTTTAGATACACATATGAGAAAAGTCAACTAAATGTAAACAACCTTAATAAAGTATGTTAATGTTTTTATCCACTTCAGCTCCTACATCTGTATACCCCTCTTGGATCATACACATTTTACATATCAGCTATGGGCCTATTGAATTAGCAATAACGTTGTCATGACTTATGATACTGAAGTTATACATATATTTTAGTTTTGTTAACAAACTATGCTTTCTTTTGGCAGTATTGTCTGATGCAATGCATGTCTGTTGGCAAGGTATGCTAGGGTGCCCTTAAAGCAGACCTTTACACTCAAAAAACAAATTCTACTAATGCATCCCTCTATGTGTGATGATTAATAATAACATAAGACATGTCAGGTGTAAAATGCTGTGATTTTGAAATACTTACACTTGCAGAGCATTCACTTTCTGCTTTAAAAAGGGCAAAATGACTTCAGTTTGGCAAAGCAATGCACACTGGGATTGCCTTGTCATCAGCAGAGCATTGCTGGGAAATCTCATCTGTAATCTCACAAGATCTCAGGGAAAGGCATTTTCCTCCCTTGAGATGATATGCATGGTCACATGTCCTAGTCACATGTCTAGTCACATGTGCCAGAAATCTAGGAAGTAATAGGAGAGCTAGTAATCTGCCCTTAGTAAACATGGCCACCGTCAGAAGACTATGGAAGAAAAGAGAAATAAGGTATGCAAAGAATAAAAAGCCTGCAGTTATCTAAAACATTTAAAAAACAAAATAGATGCAATCCGAGATGAAATTCCCACTGTCCAGTCACCTTCCCCTATTCATGTACCAGGCCCACCATTACACTTGTTACTTTCCTCTTTTGACCCTGTCATCACAGAGGAGGTTACAAAGCTTCTCTCTGACACCCACCTCACCACTTGCCCCCTGGACCCTGTTCCCTCACCACTACTCCGGTCACCCTCTTGCTCTATCTTACACTCTGTCCTTGGACCCCTTCTCTTTATCTACACCTCCTCTCTCGGTCAGTTGATCACCTTACATGGCTTCCAGTACCATCTCTATGCTGATGACACTCAAATATATCTCTCCACTCCACAACTCACCTCCTCAGTCTCCTTACGTATCACTAACTTACAAACTGACATATTAGTCTGGATGTCACAACACTTCTTAAAGCTCAATCTTTCAAAAACTGAGCTCATGGTATTTCCTCCCCCAACTTTTCGATCATGATTGAGAACACAACTATCCAACCCTCCCCCCATGCCAAGGTGCTAGGTGTCATCCTTGACTCGGACTTCACCTTTCTTCCCAACATCCAATCCCTATCCAAATCCTGCCGTCTTTACCTTCGTAACATCTCCAAAATATCCCCCTTCCTCACCAATGAAACCACAGAGCTACTCATCCACTCACTTGTTATCTCTCGTCTCCACTGTTGTAAATCCCTCCTCATTGGCTTACCTCTACACAGACTATCCCCCTTCAGTCTACCATGAATGCTGCTGCCAGACTTATCCACCTAACCAACTGCTCAGTATCTGCAACCCTCTCTGTCAATCCCTTCACTGGCTTCCAACCAACCAAAGGATAAAATTCAAAATATTACCAACCAATTACAAAGCCATTCACAACTCTGCCCCAGGTTACATCTCCAACCTTGTCTCAAAGTATCACCCTAACCGTCCCCTGCGGTCCTCCCAAGTTCCTTAACCGTCCCCTCCTGCTCTCTGGCTCCCTCATCAACTCCTCTCATGCTCGCCTCCAGGGCTCCTCTAGAGTCTCTCCCATTCTTTGGAACTCCTTACCCCAACCTGTCTGTCTGTCTCCCACTCTGACTGCCTTTCGGCGATCACTAAAGACTCATCTCATTAGGGAAGCCTATCACACTTCAAACTAACCACTGAACTCTTTCTTAAACAATTCATCCCCACTCAGCTATCTCCTCATGTATCACTTGCCCCTCCCTCTTAGATTGTAAGCCCTCACGGGCAGGGCCCTCCTTACCATCTTGTCTTGAATTGTATTGTAATTATAATGTCTTCCCTATATTATAAAGCGCTGTATAAATCCTGCATAATAATAATCATCTACAATTATGTGTTTGTAGATGGTCATTACTAAACATTTCTAAAGATGTGTTTGTTGTTATTTTAAAGATATGAGTAAAGGTCAGCTTTAAGAATGAGTAGCACCACAGAATAGCACCATACGACACTACTACACAACAGTGTCAGCCTAAAAGCTCAACTCCTACCAGATTTAAATCTTGTATTTTTGTAGTGATAACAGAACAATTAAAAGTATTTTTAAATACAACTCTTAAATATATTTGGATCTAACTTGAAATTAGTTTCACGTAGTCCCTTGCACAACAAGTCTCAGACTGGGAGAGTGAGGGCAAATACTGTGAGCCAAACAGGTTCTACTGTATTGGACAGTACTGCCAATCTAAAACTGTAAACTTGCCATAAACGAGAGAGAGCAGAATGATGGCCCCTTATTGTCCAATCAGCAGACTGACAGTGGGTAGGTGACAATGCTGTTTTGCTTAACTGCACAGGAAAAAAAGTGATATCACCAAACTGGCTAGACTGCCTGATTCACAAGACTGGCTACACAGAATTCCAAATCCTTTGGCAGACAGATCCTTGTAGAAGTAAATAGACTAGGTCACATCAGAGCAATGTAGATGACATAATAAAGGATATGTTTGTGTACAATGTTGTCTAAATTCTCTGATCTCCACTATTTATATTTAAAACATCTTTTTTTTAATTAAAATTTCTTGAGGCAATGCATCCCCCAGGATTCTCTGTATCCCTTTTTTATTCTGAATACATAGAAATGCTTAAAATAGGAAATGTAAAGCAGAGAGGGATATGGAAATCTGCCTCTAGTAGTCTGTCAAATCATAGCACTTCCATAACAAAAGTTGTATGTTGCTGTAACAGTGGAGGCAAAATAATTGTTCCACTGTTTTTCATACTATGTGACATTTGTGGGTTCACATGTGTCACCCTAAACTGCAAACTCTGTAGAACCAACACACGATGATCTTCCAAATAAATGTTAACTTTTTTCCACATGCATCTATACAAAGAACAACCTCTGACGCGTTTCTGCCTGACTCTGCCTTAGTCATCAGCTATGACTAAGACCGAGTCAGGCAGAAACGCATCAGCGGTTGTTCTTTGTATAGATGCATGTGGAATAAAGTTTGAATTTCTTTGGAAGATCATCATGTGCTGGTTCTACAGTTTTTGAGCCTATTACTCCAGAAGAGAGTCATCCGTGCATCCGTGTGGATTGTGGGGACGCATGATAGGGGTGAGCTGTGCGCTTTGTGTTTTCAGTTTACTAAACTGCTGGAGGTCAAATTACAAACAGCATGGAAAATATCTGTCTGTATATATGTCTCCCTGGAAATATTTTAAAGCTGGCCCATAGACTTAAGCACTGTGTGGTCCCATCAGCACCCCTCTGTTTGACAAAAGTGTTTTCTTCATTTGACTTTTGTCAAAGAAGCCGGTCCCGAAAATCCTCAGCCGAACAGTGACTGCAGCCAATAAACTGCAGTCATTGATCGTGTATATGACGCTGCCAGAATACAATAAACTGGTGGGGGGGGGTTCGTGGATGTGGGAATCAAATGTTTATTTTTTGCTAAGCCCACAGAGCTGAACAAGAAAACATGACTAGTGTATGGCCAGATTTGGGTTTACTCTACTGGAAATGTCATGTTTGCTAAGGAATTTGCATGTCTAAAGAAATGACATCCATTAAGTGGTTCTGCCCAGGACTAATAATGCCAATACAATAAAGACTTTCCGGGCCATTTTGAAAGATTTTCAGAGTGAACTTTGCACGATATTCTAATTATTCGAGTTTCACCTGTATATATATATATATATAAAAATAAAGGTGACCTGCAGGAAATTGCTTTCTCAACAAAGCTATAGTCTCACCTTGAAAGCAGGTCTGTTTAGATTTTAAATATCTTCTCAACTACTCAGACAGCGCATTACAAAATAGATTTGATGTTGATCTTTGTTTAGAGAAGGCAGAGTGGATAAATTACAGAACATCTCCATGGGAATAAAGAGCAAATAACGACTTCTTATACGCTGACTACAATGCAAAATACTGGAATTTCTCCTTTTAACTCTGAAGGTACCTTGTGCATGCTGCGATCAAAACCATCTTCCTCTCCTCCTGAAGAGAACCTCCGCGCTCGAGGCACTGCAGAACCAAAGACTTGGTGTCAGTGAAGCCTTTATTGTCATCATGTTTTTACATTATACAGAACAATAGTGTGACTGGGAGAGCAGTGACTTGTAGGCATTGTAGAGAAGACAACAGCTCCAGGCACTCTCAGTCACCACAAAGGACAATAATAGCTTGTTCCAGTCATTGCAGTATTTTTTTGTTGTTTTTGTGGCTCTATTTTGCCTGCTGTTATGATACAAAAGTGAAAATGGGAGGTTTAGTCCATTTTCAGATTCATCATTTAAAGAAGATCTCTGCAAAGCACTGTTTCCATAGTAACTGGGTAAATTATACAACCCCAATGTAATTCCAGAAAGAAAACCCCACTAGCTGTTTATCGGGTTATCATGTCCCTTAACAGTTAAACACATGTGGCATAATACAAAGAAATTAGGACCTGTGTGCAACAGGGCTTAAAGGAGAACTATGAGGTGAGTGGTTTTCACTCCGCCTCATAATCTGAGCCGACCTGTGACAATGCAACTGTCGCTGGTTGGCTCAGTAGATCGGGAAGTGAGCGAACACATACCGGCGCTCGCTCACTTCTCGATCCTGTCACTGCAGAGAGCCGTGACAGGGAAGTGACTGGATTCTCCCCTCCCCTGTCCGATCCTCCAGCGCTGGCTGGCGGAACGGAAGGGGGAGGGGGCGGGAAAAGCTGTCACTCACGCAGCTGGGTGGATCCAGACATAATTGTCGGGATTCGTTTCAGCTGCAGCGTCTCAGTATACCGTGAGCTGTAGCTCGCTGTATACTGAGCTTTGGTTAACGGGAGGACACTAGTTTGTGTCCTCCCGTTACCCTTTGAAGAACTATGGGGAAAAAGCCCTAACCCTATAGTTCTCCTTTAACCATTAAGCAAAATAAACATGTACTTAGGGCACCAAGGAAAGGGGGCACCACAGAGTTTTTTCCTCTAGTTATCACGCCTAGGGATGAGCTCAGGTTAGAACCAAACCTGGTCTGAACCTGAGCTCTTCTGAACCTGGAAGAAGTCCACCCGAACTTGAAAGGAAGCTTCTTTCATGCCACCCAATCAGCTGCCGTTGGGGAATTCCCCACCCACAGAATGACGTAAGCAAAGGGGCGGGATGCAGTGATGTCATTGACCTTATATGGCTAGATTAGGCTATATTAGGTAAGTGACGTCTAACTGATACAGCCATGTGGCCATATAAGGTCAATGACAATAGCACAAGCATTCTGCCCCTTTGTTTATGCTTGGGGCAGTTTCCGTCCTGAAGCTACAGATCAGTCCTGTAAGTTACGAGGTGGGACCTACATGGATTGGACTAGTTTTTCTAGCACATCCAACAGATGCTCGATTGGCTTGAGATCTGGAGAATTTGGGGGCCAAGTCAACACCTCAAACTCATTGTTGTGTCCCTCAAACCATTCTCAAAACATTTTTGCAGTGTGGCAGGGTGCATTATCCTACTGAAAGAGCCCACTGCCATCAGGTAATACATTTCCATGAAGTGGTGAACTTGGTCAGCAAAAATGTTTAGGTAGGTACATGTCAAAGTAACATCCAAATGAATGGCAGGACCCAAGGTTTCCCAGCAGAATATTGCCCAAAGCATCACACTGCCTCCGCCAGCTTGCCTTCTTCCCATTGTGCATCTTTGTTCTATCTCTTCCCCAGGTAAGCGACACACATGCACCCGGACATCACATGATTTAAAAGAAAAAGTGATTCATCAGACCAGGCCACCTTCTTCTATTGCAACGTGGCCCAGTTCTGATACTTACGTGCCCATGGTGGGTACTTTTGGCAGTGGACCCAGATCAGCATGGGCACCCTGACCAGTTTGCGGTTACTCAGCCCCCTACGCAACAAAGTTCGATGCACTGTGTGTTCAGACGCCTTTTTATTGGAACCAGGATTAAAGTGACACTAAACTCAGGAGTTAAATCTTAAAAATGCATTCAAGTACCTTAAATAATAACAAAAATGTAGCTTATTTGTATATCACTATTTATGTATCACTCGGCTGTAGATCCTCAAATCATCTCTGAATTCATTTGGACACTGTACTACCTTCTGGAGGGTGGCTACTTTTGTTCCCCTTAATCCATGTGTGTGTTGCAAAGTATCCATCGCTCCAAACATGCTCCCATGATGGACTACAATCTCATGTTTAGTTCACGAATTTGTACTGAGATTGTAGTCCATCACAGTAGCGAACTTGGAGTGGCGGCTACTTCACAACACAAACAGGGACCATGTGTAAAAAAAAGTAGCCACCGCTCAGAAGAAAGGACAGTGTCAGCACCAATTCAGAGATGATTTGAGGATCTGCTGCCGAGTGATCAACAAATAAGGTACATTTTTGATGATAGGTAAAGTATTTCAATTCATTTTAAAGATTTAACTCCTGAGTTTAGTGTCACTCAAACTTCTTCAGCAATTTGAGCTACAGTAGCTCTTCTATTGGATCAGACTTCACGTGCCAGCCTTTGCTCCCCACGGGCATCAATGAGCCTTGGCCGCCCATGACCCTGTCGCTGGTTCACCAGTTTTCCTTCCATGGACCACTTTTGGGATGTTCTAAACACTGCAGACTGGGAACAACCCACAAGAGCTGCAGTTTTGGAGTTTCTCTGACCAGTCATCTAGTTATCACAATTTGGTCCTTGTCCAAGTAGCTTAAATCCTTATGCTAGCCCATTTTTTCTGCTTCCAACACATCAACTTCAGAGACAAAATTTTTACTTGCTGCCTAAGATACCCCACCCCACTTACAGGTGCCATTGTAATGCGATAATCAATGTTATTCACTTCACCTCTCAGTGGTCATAATGTTATGGCTGATCGTTGTATATTCACAGGGTTAAAGTGACACTAAACCCTCAGATTTTTTAACATAAAACAATACTGTAATGTGTGCCTTACTGTAATCCATGGCTGTTTCCTTCTCTTTGCTGCTCTTCCTTTTAAATCTGTATCTGTTCTCATGCTGTGCAGAACTTCTGTTTTGCAGCAGACTGCCTTGTCTCAGGAATGGATACACGGTGTCTGTGTATACGTTTGTATAGGCTTGAAACCTGAGCCAGCACTACAGGAAGAGGCCCTGAGCTGAAAAGGGAAGTTCTCCCCCAGCATGAGAAGACATGAGGATTTAAAAGGAAGAGCAGCAAAGAGAAGGGAAACAACCATGGATTTCAGTAAGGCACACATTACAGTATTGGTTTATGTTAAAAAATCTGAGGGTTTAATGTCACTTTAAGTGAAATTGTGGCAGTACATTAAGGAACTACATCCCATGGGCATCAATTCAATTCAAGTAGGTTTACAGATCTCTAGATCGGTGGGATTATTAGGTGTGGGATAGAACCTATGAAAATTCAATATAGAAATACATATTTATTTTGAATTTTTGACCATAGATAAACTTTAATGGTTAATCCAGCCCTGCATGGAGTAGCAAAAGAATCACCTTGGCACAAGGACAGGTCCTCTTTAAATATCTCGCCTTGTGCCGTTCTCTCTATAAATCATGTATAATAATAACAATCACAATCCTATACCACTGAGGGCCATTGCTTACTTTTTGGTGAGTACATCCAATACTCGGGTTCAGACTGGTAATAAGGATCAGGACTGTATGGGGGGAGGTACTTGGGGGACTGTACAAGGTCTTCACTTGTTTTACTTTTCGTTGCTTCATCGGGATTATCTGGTAAAAGATATATACAAACTTTCAGAAAAGACTTCAGTGCGCCAGTATGATTCAGCTTGGCAAACAAAGTTATAATGAGATACTGCATCCATTTTCAGTACTGACCTCGGTTTCTCCGTAAACCAATAATACTGTCTGAAAATGCAATAACACATTCCCAGTACTGCTTCGAAAACAAATTATCTTTTATAACCTGTCAAATCTAATAATGCTTTGCCTCCTTACATAATCTTTCTAACTATGATCACAGGTCATAATAAAGAGAAATATCCCTTTAGGCATAATAGTAGTACTATACAGTGACATTTAGAATATTGCCTCAGCAGCAAATGCCCTTCTAATTATAGAATAGATCACTGTAGTGCTCATGGTGAAAAGGCACAGGTGACGGATTATTATCACATAAATAAACCACTGACATACCTCTTACGTTATATGCTCACTGGGATTTAATTATATTAACAGTATAGCATTAATGGTATTTAATTATAATGCCTTGGAATTACTGCTTTTGTTAAAATTACTGTTAAAACAGTTCTAATGTATATTGGGCCAGTCCACTCAAAATTGATTCCCCACTCCTATCTTGTGTCTGCCCACCCAGGAGTTTGCAGATCAGAAAAGTCGGGAGGAGTCCTTATCTGCATACTTATTCTGGATAATGACTCTAAGGGCCCAAGTAAAAAGCAGCACTATGGCATTATCATGGTACCAGAATTTAAAAAAAACGCAGAGCAATTTATTCTACATATGTATGTGGCGCTCTGCTTGCTTTGGGACCGCCAAGCAAGTGGAGTGCTATTAAAATGGATGGGAAGAAAAAAAAAGCCGGGAGGAGTAAAGTCATGTCACCATCCTCTCCTCCAAACACAGTGTATTTTTTGCAGCATTAAGCAGAGCCATCACAATGGTATACCACAGGCTCTAGACGGCGCCTTGCATTTTATGAATTAAATGAAAAATGCAGATGGTAGCTGGAGCAGTATTGCAATTTACAGCGGACAGCGATATTTGTTCTCATTTTTAAATGAGCCCCTATAAATTGAAACCAGAAGGTCCAGAAATTAGCATTTACAGAATGGAAAGCCATAAATGGTCCCCATACTTTTCTGTGAAAAGGTTCACTTTAAAACTGACCTTGCAATATGATAACAGTTAAAAAAAACTTTAATAGTCCTTCTTCACGTTATTTACTCTAGTTTTTATAGAGGCTTCACTGTGATAAATGCATTGTGGAGTTTTCAAATTTGAAGAGCCTCAGACTGCATAGAGGTTCCTATTTCTCTTTTCCTCCTCCTCTGTAGTCTTATGACTCTTTAGACATACACTGATATTTATGCAGCTCTGGGCTGAGAAGAGATATTGCCTAATTCACATATCACATGAGCAGCATGACAGAAGACTGCAGGATTATTTGTCATCAATGCTGAGGGTAATCACTGCTTGCAGTTGGCGAGGCAGCTCTCTACATCACAATTATGACTCATTCCCCTTTCTTTGCAAAGCGGTGTTAGAATGCCATTTGCCAATGCTAACATACTGCACTGCCTACAGATTGAACAGATTGCTTAAGTCAAGAGGGTTGTTCCTAGGGACATATTTAACCAGAAGCATCTCTGGTGACATGAGTTAAAATGTTGAGAGGCTGGTAGAATACCATGATGACTGGTTTGGAGTCTAAAGCCAGGTATACACGCTTCGAATTTCTCCTGGTTCTTGATGAACCGGACAAAATTCGTTGTGTGGGTGCCAACAGCAGCACCCTTCCACTGGGCATCCCTTGATCAACTGATAGAAGGGATCGGTTGGAAAATTCTTGGCTGAAAGGAGCTAGCAGCTAATCAGCTGCTAGATCTGTTCAGGTATTCTGGCAGCGGCCAGTAGCCACTGTCAGAATACAAAGGAAAGGGCAGGCGATTCCTTGATCAACGCTCGTAATAGTTGATTGGTTGATGGGTTAAGCTAAAAAAAAAATAGAACTATGTATACCCAGCTTTAGAAGAATATGGTCTTTTCAACTGAACAGAAATGAATATGTCATTTTCTCAAGCAGCATTCAAGCAGCTACACATGAGCCATACTTTCCAGAAAGAAAAGGAATAAAGCTCTTGACATAATGATGTGACATGACTGAAATATAAATCTAATCTATTATCATTGCTTGGAAAAAAAGAACCATTAGGGCTAGTTCATACCATCCTCAGTGCATTCCGGCCCGATTGTGGCCGGCACGCACTGAATCACATTCCGACCGGCTCACTTTGTTTTGGGGCGGGAGGGGGCGTGTGATGGTGCATTGAACTCAATGGTACCGCAGCAACGCCTTCCAGCCGCAATGCGATTGACTGCATATGAAACGTGTGGCACATCAGTGCCTGTGTTCCGGTCCGGTGGAGTCAGAAAAAATAGTGCATGCACTACTTTTTGTAACTTTACCTGACTGGAACACAGGCACTGATGTGCCACGTTCCCATGCGGCCGATCGCATTGCGGCCAGAGGGCGTGGCTGTGCTGCCATTGGGTTCACTAAGGATGGTGTGAACTAGCCCTTAAGGAAAGTAGATAAATTACATAATGTGCCAAAACTGTATTATGTATAAAGTGTATCATCTTCATATCCTAAAGGAGACCCGGGGCACTCAGTAAAAGACCTGGGGCATGTGCTCTGGGTGCCAGGGTCTAGCAATGCCTCGAATTGTTTAGGTAGGCCCTACACAGTTATTGGTTATCCACTTAAAGGGACTCTGTCGCTAGATAAAAATAAAGATTTTTAAAGTCCAGCCTGTACAGGAAAACAAGTAATGTCGGTTCCATGCTGTTAATCTTCACTCTGTTCCAGAGCTAAGTCTGCTGAAAAACCTTCTGTATCTGATACTTCCAGGAGTGTCTGATACCTGCTTCCCCTGTTCCCCCTCTGCATGCTGTGGTTCCATTCACCAGCCCCTACATTACTAAAGGTCATAGTAGTGAGGTAGGGACTGAGGGATAAAACCATAGCTTGCGGTGGGGGACCAGGTATTTGACACAACCCATAGTAAGTCGGGCGCAAAAGATTTTTCATTAAGTTTAGCTCTGGAACAGAACTAAGATTGGCTGGGCCATTTCATTCAGCAGCCACTGCTCCATTGACTGTTAAATATCTGAACAGTGCCCTTAGATAAGATGCATGCATTGTTTGGCTGAGGATTTGAAACTAGCTCCTTCAACAAAAGTTGAATTTGTCAAACAAAGGGGTTTTCGGCAGAGCCACACACTTCTGGCTTTTGGACTTTTGGCCAAGTCCTGCTGATACTGTATGAGGCCTAACCTACAATATTTTCATGATAACTATATGTACACACACCAAAAAAAAGGAAACAAACATGTAAAAAACCCCCAAAGAGATGCTAATTTAATGAGGCAAATATAAAAGTGCAGCAATTAGAGCACTTTAGACAACATCTTTGCACTTTCCACTGCCTTACTGAATAGGCCCGATGAGTATGTACATAGACACATGTGACATGTGTTAACTAAAGACATGTCAATGGAGATATGAATTACACAGAACAAGGAAATGCTGAGTAAGTGGTTTCAGTTTGCAAGGGTCAGCACATCTGTAAGTAAGCAGCTGGACATACTTTCCAGAAAGAAAAGGAATAAAGCTCTTACTTACATCATGACACAGAGCCAGCCGGGCAATAGACAAAGGAGAAAAGGGAGAGAAGACATATAGTAATACAGATTTTAGTTATCAGTCATCAGAGTTTAATTTTTTTATATCTGTAAACTACTGCTTTTATATGCTATATCTCTATGAACAAACTATAAAAACACACAACTTACTATTTATATCATTTCTACAGGCTGGAAGTACCAAACCACAGCACACTGCAAGGCAATCGACATTTCACAAGCTTAGACAGACATTTATCTTTCTTATACAGGTTATAACACAATGAGGATTAAACCCAACCACATGCTCATTCGCCATAGAAGCATGCTACCTCCATAAGGTGGACATTTTTAAAGTAGTTCTAGCCGTTCTGTGACAATGAGACTGTCACAGGTCAGCTTAGTAGATCGGGAGGTGAGCGAACACATACCGTCGTTCGCTCACCTCTCGATCCTGTCACGGCTCTCTGCTGTGACAGGGGAGGGGCTGGATTCCCCCCTCCCCGCTCCGCCAGCGCTGACTGGCGGAACGGACGGGGGAGGGGGCGGGTACAGCTGGCTCTGCCTCTAGATAGGCAGAGCCAGCTGTCAGTCACGCAGCTGGGCGGATCCCAACATAATTGTCGGGATCCGCTTCAGCTGCGGCGTCTCAGTATAGCAGCAGCTCGCGGTATACTGAGCCTAGGGTGATGGTAGGACGCTAGTTTGTGTCCTCCCGTTACCCTAAGGAGAACTATGGGGAAAAGCCTTAACCCCATAGTTCTCCTTTAAATAAGGACTGCCTTAAGCAATATTGTATCTAAACTTACTGCGCTACATGACCCAGTGCCATTACCGAAAAATAGCAAGCCTACTGTTTATGAGGTTACCATTGATAACAGTCTTCCATATGTAGCAGAATAAAATGTTAGGACCTGTGTGTGTAGCCAAATATAAATTGTTGGCTTCTACTGTTTCCGAATCATATCAAAGCACGGTACACCAATTTTTTCTGGGTGTCTGGTTTAGGAGATAGCTGATTTCCATATACGAAAACCATGCAAAAACACAGGTTTTATAGTAACGTACTTCCTGAACTGTAGGATTTATATATTGACATACAGCCACTACAGTATATAATTTATATAGCTCTGCTGTAAGTCATTTAAATAGGTCTGGAGTATATAATTTATATAGGTCTGCTGTATATAATGTATATAGCTCTGCTGTATATTATTTACATAGGTCTGCTGTATATAATTTATATAGCTCTGCTGTAAATCATTTACATGGGTCTGCTGTATATAATTTATATAGCTCTGCTGTACACTTTCAAGATTTTGAGAAATATACAACATTGTGTGTTGTGTAAAAATACTGGAGGCCTACAGTCCTCTTATTCGGCAGTGCAAATGATCATTTACCTTTTTCATGATCTGCTTGTAATGTAAACCTGTAATGATTACTTGCAAAGCCTTGCTAAGCTCACGAAGCAGGCACTCCAAGTGCTATGTCCTATTTTCCCAGTGCTGCTCACCTCCCCAATGCAGTGGAGAACACCCAAAATTCATATGCGGATATAAAGTTTCTAAAATGCGATATTTGTACAGGTTAGGTTACAGGTACAGGTTAGGCATGCCGCCCTCCAGGTAGTAGTGCTATTGGTTCCTCCGGCACCAAGCACTGTATTGTGGCAAATAGGGAGTAAGCATGCACACTCTGCTGAAAGCAACATCCTTACTTTAGTTTGCTAGCAGTCACTATAGGAAAGGCATCTATCACATATTTTTTATATAAATGAAATTACCTGTTTGAACAGAAAGTCCAGAAATCCCCTATCTGTCCATGACCCCTTAGTAACAAAGAGAGAGTCTGCCATCACACAAGTCCTGTGTCTTGTTACAACAGATTAATTGGAATAAAGAATTCAATTGCAGCATCACCTGCTGGTCAATGGCATTATTGCAGCATAACCTTAAAGCCTAACAGGACGTTCCAATTTTATTACTGTGATGCAGGCAGGCTGCATATATTTGTTAACATATATTTGTTATCTTTCTATTTACTGCAATAAAAGGTTAAAACACCATCTGCTAGCAGCACACTGGATAGTCAGACCTCTGCTCAACACAGAGCGCAGTGGTCTTGGTCACCAGCAGTCCAACACCCGCCTCACCCTGCATGCTGCTCCAATCAACAGAATTGCTCAGGGTGCACGAGCGCTGTGCAGCGGAACATTTTGTGTTGGACAGCGGTCCGGCTGTCCAGTGTGCTGTATGCAGAAGGTGTTTTCACCCTTTTCTGCAGCATATAAAAATGTATCATTAAAAAAAATGCCTATATTTATTAATACATCACAGTATTAAAATCAGAATGTTCAGTTGGGCAAAGGGAAAGGATAATGTATTTGTATGAGCATTAGGCTTTAGTTATTATTGCAGTGTTTACTTTATATTTACTCTTTCTGTGACTTTTCTAAATGCCTTCTCTTCTACATTTTATTTATTGCAACTATTGTTTATTAGTAAATACAAGGATTCTTGAAGGCAACTCATTTCAAAAGGGACTTTTAAAAAAAATTATTTTTGAGACGTGTAAAAGAGATCAGCTTGATGCAAATCACGTTATCCATGTGTGATAATATTTGAAAAAAAACTCTTTATGTATAGTTTGCAATTTTTTTATGTACTCAATCGAAAATTACATTATTAGGCACTGCTTTATGATTTGCAGTAAAACAGTATGCTGTGCTTTCCTTCATTTGTGCAATAGAAATATATCAGTCAACTGACTTAATGAAACCAAAGCACTCCTTGTGTGGCTAATATCTTATATCTCAACAGTTGTTAAGCAAGGATGATAACTGAAGTTGAGTCAATTACACAGTTCCCTCTAGTGGTTAATCTACAAATCTATAAATTTCTATGACTGCACTGTATTTCGCAAAGCATTTCAAGCAACAGCAGCAAAGAGGTCCACTGTTGCCTCCTAGGAGGTTGTATGAGGTGGGCTGCATCCTCTTTGTTACTGGGTAATTTAAAATTCCCTTTAGAGAGACATTTAGCCTAATAAAGCTAAAGCATGCAACCCATATTTAACATGCAGTTTCTACAGAGCAGAAGGCAAGCATTAAACATGAACCAGGCATACGACACCAGTCACTAATCACTGTAGTTGACACAACACAGCATGGCGCAGCATGCTACAGGATTGAACAGTACCATGCCGTTTATAGATGGGCGGTTTTCGATAAATGTTACTCTCTGCAGCGGCTGTGAGGATAAAGGAAGAGGAAAGGGAAAACGAGAGAGGAAAAAGACAGGAGGAAAAGTGAAGGAGGGAGTGTTCAGAGAGGAGAGGAAGTACACGAGACAACGATCACACAAGACAGAGTTATGATGTGAGAAGAGTGACAAGCAGAGGTGAGTGACAAGAAAACAGAAATAAAGTGAGATGAAGTTGTGAACAATGAACCAAATGAGTCAAAAAATATTATATAAATTGGTCATACAGCTTGGGGACAAGTTAGAGAGTTATGCATACTGTGAACCATTTAGTGTGCCACAGTGAGGTTACCAGTGCTAAGTATCTGTGGGAATTGGCACTGTGTGGTATGTTGGAAAACACATGCCAAATCTGCACTGATTTAATTTTTACAACAGCTAGTTCATACATATGAGTGCAATACAAATGTCTGATACTATATAGGCAATGGTATACTGGCTATCTCAGAAGTGGTACAACCTAGCCTATTAATTCTTAAATGTGGTCCTCATTAGCCACCCTTACCAAAGGGACATGTTTTCCAGACTTTCAAGTAGCAGTACAGGTATGATAATTAGTTACAATGTAAAATGATCATTACTTCAACGATAATTGTGAAAGGCAATCTGAACAACACGAACTGTTGGTGGACTTCAAGAACTGGATCTGAGGAACAGTGGGCTAGACATTACATTTCCTAGTTTCATGTGCTACAGGCATATGAGGCCTTCATCTCTGAAATCTCTGGCACTAAAACAAAGACCCTATAGGCCTCTACAGTGAAAAATGCAACAATGAGCAGTAATCCATAGCAAAATAGCCAACCGTTATCTTTTAAACTGATCAAATCTGACTTTTAATGTGTACCTGTTCCCAGGATAAAAACGTTATAGGCATAGGGTAAATTATAATAATTACCTGTTGTGTCGTTTTAATTAGCAAACCACTGCTAGTAACCCCTCCAGAGGACCTACAGTGAAATCCATGGAGTCTCAACCATACACAAAGTTGAAACTGAGAACAGCAGCCACAGTTGTCCCCATGTCCTTGCCTCTGTGGTAGGGTTATCCTACTGGCTGCCAGAATATGCATCCCACGTTACACCTTCAGAATTGGCAAGATGGTGGTGCTAGTGGGAAGGTTTGAATGCTGTTGTGGTAAGTAACCTGTGGTGCTCTGTGACTGAAAATGTACAAATGGCAAACATTTATTACAAGTGCTGTAAGGGGTAACATTGAGTACAGGTAGGCTTTAAAGGCATGCAATGTGAAGTGACAAAAATCAAGGTATCAGAACTCATCTCTGGTAGACCACAAATAACCTGCCTCTGATTGGTTCCTATGTGTTATTGCTCATTTATAGTTATTGTTGCACTTTGCACTGCTTAGTGACCATGCTACTACTGTGTGCCATTACATTTAAGAGGAAGGACTTGAGAGGAAGGGCCACCCATGTAAGAAACCTGTTGCTGCTTTTAATGAGGACCAGGCAACAGGGTCCCTCCATATAAATACATGGAGAGGATACTCCCTAAATAGTTGAAAAAAAGGCAATTTTCAATTATTACTTTCCAAAGGGCCTACTTGCTTTCCTACCTGGAATATGGAAGTGCCGAGGAGCTTGGTAAAGGGTTGGTGTGGAGCAACGAACATCTACCTGGCTATAATAAGGGGAGTTACGGCCACTCTCTGTGCCTGGAAGAAGGTTGATGGATATGAATTGAAAAAGAAATGAAATGGAGAATTGGAAAATTGCAAAAGAATAATAAAAAAGAGATGAAATGAAGCAAAGAGGAAAGAATTCATAGCAAGAAGAGAAAAAAAAAAAAAGAAGAAAAGCAAAGACAGTGAGGAGCAGAGATGCAGAGGGACATTACAGTCAAGATGGGACGGCTCTGTTGGTGCCATCTTGAAGTTATGAATGAGGAAGTCGGCATTTACCATATTTAATGGCAAATATGTAATAGTAAAAAAAAAAAAAAGTAAATAAACAGTTTAACCTTTGCATTATTACCTCTAGTATAAGAGAAAGGCTTTCTGTCCTAGTCAAATGTATTAGTGGTAGGAAACATTTTTGATCTTTAGTATACCTCAACAATAGCTTTCTTTAACTGTAAATGGGTAATTTGTTTTGTTCAGCCTAACAAAGATTTGACTGTTTCTTTTGATTAACTTTGTATGAAAAAGAAACCAATGAGAAATAATTGTTAACTTTGTTTATGATGTGCAAAAAAACAAGGATAGGCTGTCAGATTTGTACATTATGACTAGCTACTTAATCATTTACATGTATTTTAGTAAATCTTATTGGAAGAACCATTATACTATCCTGCTTGGGTTTAGGGTTAATTCTTCTTTATAAGGAAGTGCAAGCTTCAATACAACTACTGCTTAGCTGAACTCACAATATCATAAGAGATTGTTTTTTGGATCATTTTTGAGTATGAATGACCATTTAATATGATAGGAAGATCATATTAGAAAACTAGAGTCAGATTTATTTCTAATAGTTATCTGACTCTGTATGTGTGGAAAAAAAACAAAGTGAAAATTGTAAAATATTTCAGATTGGAAATATTTGTCAATGACAGTGATGGATTGTTGGCTGACATGCACACACTTTGGCAATCAGGGATCATGTATCTTGCCTTCTATTTGTGTGACTGGTAATGGAAATGGAGAACTGTGTCTCATCACTATATGTCCGTTTAAAAGGAAAACTTTAATACGTTCGGTAAATAGTGAACAATTTACATTGAGTTTCTTTAGTTCTAATTTGGGGACAGAGTAAAGGCACTTTAAATGCCGGCCTATTAACCAAAAATGGTGATGTAAGGGCCAAGCTATGTTAAATTGTGGCTTCTTTGAGGCCGGATTCACACTGTTGTGTTGCGGTAACGTTGCTCATTACCACATGTGTTATGCACCGGAAAGATGTAAATGTACTCTGTATCTTTCTGATCACATACGGCTTGTTTACACTATGTCTAACATGCGCAGTGGTGCGCATTCAAAATGAATACTCTATGCATTACCGCGACTCACCACACTAGAAAGGTGTGAATGGGCCCTAGTCATCCAGTTACCTATTGGCTTGATGTTCTAAGTAGAGCTGCTATGAATAACAAAATCAAATCTCCTTCCCTAAAGTGTACAATCAGGAGGGAACAACATACCCGACATGTAGTAATGCTGTGGGGAGCGAGGCATGGTGAGGGAAACATCTCGATGACTATAAAGAGGAGAATCAATATATCCTGGGCTGGATGACCTTCTCTGTCGCAGATCCATTCCTTCATAGATATCCTTTGAGTAGCAGGAAATGAGACAAAATTAGAACCCGCCAGGCATTAAGAGAACTAATTTCTGAAAACAGCATTGATAAATTAAAAAGAAAAAAATCCCCTCAAACACAAAAAATAGTTTTAGTGTCCAGTCATATTTGTCTCTGTGACCCATCTCTTTTGATCTGCCGTGTAAAGCTTATTCAAAGCTGTGGAGTTTTCAAAGTGCTGTTTCAGTACTTTTTTTATATGAAGCCCTATAAGGGAGCATAGACAAGGACAGAAATTTAAAATGTAACTCCAGACCGAAAACGTTTTTTTCGGTTTTGGATACAGTTGAGAAGGGTAAGAACATCTGTCAGGTTTTATTGATTGTTATGGATATTTTCCTTGTTGAAGTTTTTACAAAGACAAGCAGTCAGGGAAAATTTCCAACAGTGGCACAGCCAGCAATAAAAAACTGACATTGTTTTGAGATTTCCTTTACTCTTCTAAAATGGGTGTTCTTACTGCAGTTTGTGTCCTTGTTGAAAAATTTCTGACTTTTTATGCTGTCATGTTGTCACCAGGACAGGACCTTAGGTAATACCTCCTCAACGGGGACCAAAGACAGCAGATAAACTGGCAGGGGATCTAACTCTTACCATCTCTATGCAAAACTGAACCAAAAATAGGTTTGGATGGAGACACACTTAAAACGTACATTACTTAGCGTTACTTAGGCATTACTAGTGACTTAGGCGTTGTGAACAAAACCTAAGTCAATAGACAATCCTACAGGAGCACATAAACCAGCTCTGTGGCAGCAGATACCCATTTTACCCCAGGAAAATCTAGTCATTATGTAAGCAAATTCCAGCCATTTTAATTCTAATGCAGGCTTGGCATTGAAAGGAAAGATCTAACTCCGCAAAGCTCCACTTTTAATATACGAACATCAGGAGTTTAGTAGCCCTAAAGTTAACCAAAGTCTATGGTAGCTTTATGTTTCAGAAGAACATTGAAACACCACAAGCACTGTCATGAAGACTAGACCAATAAAAATGATGCTACAGCTTATTAATTCATTATATTGATATACAACCCCAGTTCCAAAAAAGTTGGGACACCGTGTAAAATCTTAATAAAAACAGAATGCAATGATCTGCAAATCTCAAAAAAACATATTTTATTCACAATAGAAAAGTGAAAACATATCATATGTTTACACTGAAAAAATGTACCATTTTAAGAAAAAAATAAGGTAGTTCTGAAATTGATGGCAGGAACACATCTCCAAAAAGTTGGGACAGGGCCCTGTTTACCACGGTGTAGCATCCCCTCTTCTTTTAACACCATTCTGTCAACATCTGGCAACTGAGGAGACCAGTTGCTGAAGTTTTGGGAGAAGAATGTTGTCCCATTCTTGCCTGATATAGGATCTAACTGCTTGACAGTCATGGGTCTTCTTTGTCATATTGTCAATATTTGTCATATTTTCAATTGGTGAAAGGTCTGGACTGCAGGCAGGCCAGTTTAGCACCCAGACTCATCTATTATAAAGCCATGCTGTTGTCATAGATGCAGTATGCAGTTTAGGATTGTCCTGCTGAAATATGCAAGGCCTTCCCTGAAAAAAACATTGTCTGGATGGGAGCATATGTTGCTCCAAAACGTGGATATATCTTTCAGCATTGATGGTGCCTTTCCAGATGTGCAAGCTGCCCATTCCATACCCATTAATGCACCCCCATACCATCAGAGATGCAGGCTTTTGAACTGGGCACTGATAACAAGCCGGAAGTTTGCTCTATTTTTTTAGTCCAGAGGACATGGCGCCCATGGTTGCCAAAAGAATGTCAAATTCCGATTCGTCTGACCATGAAACAGTTTTCCACTTTGTAACAGATCGTTTTAAATGAGCTTTGGCCCAGAGATGGTGGCAGCGTTTATGGATCATGTTCACACATGGCTTCTTTGCATGATAGAGCTTTAACTTGCATTTTTGGATGGCACAACGAACTGTGTTCACAGACAGTGATTTTTGGAAGTATTCCTGAGCCAATGCAGTGATGTCCATCACAGAATCATGCCTGTTTTTAATGCATTGCTGTCTAAGGGTCCGAAGATTACAGGCATCCAATATTGCGTTTCAGCCTTGTCCCTTGAGCACTGGGATTTCTCCAGATTCTCTGAATCTTTATTTGATATTATGTACTGTAGATGATGATATATTTAAAGTCTTTTACGTTGAGGAACATTATTCTGAAATTTCCAACAATTTCTAGATACAGATTGGTGAACTTCTGCCCGTCTTTACTTGTGAGACACTCTGCCTCTCTAAGATGCTCTTTTTATACCTAATCACGTTATTGACCTGTTTCCAATTAACCTAATTAGTTGCAAAATGTGCTTCCAGCTCTTCCTTGTTAGTACCACTTACGTTGTCAGCTTTTTGTTCCCCTATCCCAACTTTTGTGAGCCGTGTTGGTGCCGTCAATTTCAAAATGACCTTAATCTTTCCTTAAAATTGTACATCTCCTCAGTTTAAACATTGAATATGTTTTCTATCTTTTATTGTGAATAAAATATAGGTTTATGAGATTTGCAAATCATTGCATTCTGCAGAATTTACACAACTTTCTTGGAATGGAGGTTCTAATAATGTATCTGTCTTCACATTAGTTTTCACGATCCAGAAACGAATACAAACACAACAGAAAACACTGAATAGCAAGTTGTACATAGTTCTACTCAGTTGTTGGTGAGGTACAACTTTGAGCATGTTTGATGTCATGTCATTGCTGGCTGGCATTACATGCTGGGAATTGTAGGCCAACAACAACTGGACATAGACCATCCACTTATTCGCTGTGATAGATCTATCTAGTCAATGACAAAGGAAAAAGGCATGGCAGGAATTAGGCTGGCTGCAAACAGCCTCACTGTTCTAATATTGGTTCTGTACCTCCCCATAGCTGTATCTTTCCAGCATCTCATCCGACGTGTATCTGCTATAAGGCTCGTAAGAAATGAGGTCAGGGCGCTGCACTGCGTAGATTGCTTTAATCTTAGGTAGAGCAGCTAAATCCTTGTAATTTAGAATCTCATTGTTTACTTTAGCCTGAGAGAGAAAGGAGGAAAAGAAGGGAAAAAGAAGAGGTGACAAGAGCCCATATTTCAAGAGAGAGTCCTTCTCACAGGAGCGCCCCAAGAGGAGGAACACTGCTCACTAAATATGGCTGAAAGGGTTAACAATATACAATATATATATATGATTCAGGGAAGCATGCAGGAGAAAATGTGATTGTGATTGGATTAGATCTAACATCACTAACATCACAATATGGCCAGTACACGTTTCTTTAGCCACTGGAACCAAACATTTGTCTAGAATCAAATTTCTCATAGGTCACTATATATATATATATATATATATATATATATATATATATATATATATATATATATATATATTTTTTATATATGTTTTTTATATATATATATGTGTGTATGGCCATTGAAACCTTGCCACATAAAAATATGTGTAATTATAGAAAACAATCCTACACTTGCATAACCACATGTTAATATTAACTTACCCTATATACTTTTACTTCAAAAAGGGTCATTGCTTCCAAGACTAATTCATCAGTTTCAAGTATACTTTGGTGGGATGGCTTGTGACCACCCACTGGCATATTAAAGACAATCTGTTTGGATACATATCATAGGCTGGCCCTTGCAACTTATCTTTAACCCCTTCGTGACGGGAGACGTACAGTGTACGTCCTGTCACTTTGTGCCTATATGACTGGCCACGTACACTGTACGTGACGAGTTATATCAGGCTTTGTAATGCCGGCATTTGCTGATTCTCAGCATTTAACAGTCATTCATTAATGTCTCAGTATTGAGGCATTAATTAATGAAATAATTAAGCTTTTTGTAAAAGCTTCTTCCTTTCATTAATGAAAGAATGAAGCCGTTACATGCAAATAGAGGACCGCAATTTGCGATCCCGTATTTGACAGCTCAAAATAGCAGAGAGGCAGCAGTGACTCACCTCACCTCTCTGCTATTTGTTTTGACAGCTCGAGAGCCCGATGTTTGGATACATTTCACCAAAGAGATACAATGTATATCTTTTGAGTGAAATGTATCAGTTCTGATCGTCTAGGCACGATCAAAGAGCTTTTAGTGAGATCTGAATCTGACTAAAGTCAGGATCAGTCTCTAAGGTTATTATTAGCTGTTCCTAAGTTTGGATCAGCCTAATAGCCAAAAATAAAATAAAAAAGTTAATTTATCAAGCTGTCATAGTGATTGCTTGATATAAACTGACAAGAAAAAAAAAAGTTTTTTTTTTTTATTTTTATTTTTTTTACAAAGTGTAAAAAAATTAAAATAAAGTGTAAAACAAAATTAGGAAAATATAAATTATATATAAATATATTTTTTATACTATAATTAATATAAAAAAATTCTAAAAAAAAAAAATAATAATCAAAACTTGTGAAAAAAGTGTTTTCTTCTAGTTTTTTTCCTCATTTTTTTTATTTTATTCAAACTAAGTGAGGGGTTAGGTACACATATGTGATATAATTATATAGCCCTATCTGTCCTCTAAAAAACTATATATAATATGTGTGGGTACATTTAGTAAGAAAGTATATTACTGCTGTGGAAGAATCACACAGCAAAAATGTAAAAAATGTGTCAGTCATTTATGAACAGAACCTGAAAACTAGCTCAGTCATGAAGGGGTTAAAGGTGCAAGGTCTGAGGCCCTCATCCTTGCTTTACTACTTAGGGAATCAATGGAACCAGTATGCAGTGATAGTGATCATGGAACCAGTACGCAGGTTGGAAGTTCTGAGTTTCCTGACTGCTATGGTAAAGCAAGGTTAAAGTGTATCTATACCCAAAATGAAAAATGTAATATATTGCAAATTAAGTGGTCTGTATTAGTTTTCTTTTTCAGACCTTTTTCCTTTATTTTCACCTGCTGATACTGAAAATAACACGGTTCCTATCCTAGGGTGACAAAGCTCACTATGGATGGAGCCATGGTTGTCACCCAGACTGCTCCGCGGATTTGGGATACAAAAACCTCTTCCTCTCTTTATCTACATTACATTGCATTTGTAGTTTACGGAAAATAGCTGGGACCGCAGGTAACACTGTTTGTGCTTTCAGTTTAGTTTACAGTAAATTACAAGGACACTTCATTTTTTTGAAGATCAACTTGTATTTTCTGTACTTGATGGAACTGTTCTAAGCCAGAAAAAAACATTAAAGGATAATTCCACCTTCAGTTTCATGTTACACCTGTATTGTGGGGCGCTTCTTCCCCTAGGCTCCTGTATATTGTATAATTCTGCATAGCTGTATCTGGATCTGCCTGCACAGCTGGATCATTTATTTCAGATCCATTCACAAGACTGTAAATACTAAAACTACAAATCCCGCCTGCCACTGCGGCAGATAACTCGTAGCTCTCATTGGAGTACAAGTGCAGTGACGAACGTGTGTAATCTATTGATAACTTCCTCCATAACTGAAGGTCTGCACCTTTGTATGGATCTGGGGCTGGAGGAACAGTCTGCCGGAACCCGTGCATTGCACCCACGATCCACTGATCGCAGTACCAATGCTTTGCAGGCAACAATAAAAAAATAATACATTCACATTTTTTTCTTTTTGAAATATTGGTGCATTTAATTATTTTTTTTTTGCAAAAAGTAGTAAATTAAGCTAATATGTTTCTGGATTCTGACAGCTAATCTTTACAGTACCCAGGGGGAGGATCTCCAAAAATATCAAAATCCATCCTCCCAATTCAGGCAAACTTCATTTACCCATGCTTGCTGGCTGATGGAACAGGAAAGGAATGCTGTACTGAATTATACTGCAAGCTGTTACGGCTGCCCTCCATCTGAAAATGATAGTAGCCTGGCTGGACTAACTTAAAGTGAACCTGTGTGTGAAGACAGCATCAGGAGAAGATGTGCCCAGGTGCCAGTATGCAGAACAAGGGTCATTGGCGGCAAGCAAGCTAGTCCACCTTGAGCAGACTAATGCTTATGTGCATGGAGCGCGGATGGATGCACGTACAGGTGCACAGGTGCGCACACCTGATTCCAGTCTTGGTGCCATTGCTGACCCCTGCCTTTTAGACTTCTCTCTTCTCTGCCTTCCTGTTATTGACCTCAGCTAGTTTCTGACCACAGCTCATCTCTGCTGACCTTCTGGTGTGACCTTGGCTTTTTCACGACTATAGCTAATGTTTGCTGACCTTCTGGTGTGCCCTCGGCTAGTTTCTGACCACAGCTCATCTTTGGTGACCTCACCTTGGCCTGCTTCCTGACCGTGACTCTGCCTGCTAACCTTTCTGCTGTCTGTCTACTTGGCTGTGTTCTGTCCAAAGAGCCAATTAATCAAAATCTCCAATTATGCCACATCCGGTGACTTGCCAGTAGGAAATTTAAATGAGTTAGCTCTAATGAGTGTGCGCCACCCATGGCATTTTCAGAATCCTCATCGAGTTCTCCAATGCTCTTCACTGCGCCTGTGCGGCTGCACAAGCCTCATCGAGTTCTTCAATTCCACTTACTGTGCCTGCGCACCTACACAATAGCATTATCAAGTTCTCCAATTCCTCTCAGTGCGTCTGTTAGTATTAATATTACCTATTAGCCAATCAATGAAAAGCAAAGGCGGCCAATCAGAGAGCATGTTCTGATAACAGATTTTAGCTAACTCCTCCTGGTTTAGTGTTGTGCCATCGGGTGGGAGCGCAGGTGCAGTAATGCTTATTGGAGAACTTGATAGTGTTATTGGGTGGCCACGCAGGTGCACTGAGGGGAATTGGAGAACTTGATAACGCTATCGTGTGGGCGTGAAGGCGCAGTAAGGGGAATTGGAGAACTCGCTGAGGCTTGTGGAGCCGCAGAGGCGCAGTGCAGAGCATTGGAGAACTCGATGATGACTATGAAAATGACGCGGGTGGCGCATGCGCACTAGAGCCAACTCATCCAAATCTCTTACTGCCAAGTCTCAACATAATTGGAGATTTCAATGAATTTACTTTTTTGGCAAAACACCTGCTGATCTCCACCTATCCTGACCACACTTTCAGCCTGCTGAGTGTTCATGTGCCCTGTCCAGGTGCCTTCTGGTCTGCCTCTTCCTGAGGCATTCCTATCAGTCTACTCGGGCATCTCTCTGTCAAAGCCTGCTGTCAGAAGTGAGTTTTCATGGACTAGACTCCTGGCACTCGTGCCACTCTGTGCCCTCTCACTCCCTGTGCTCCACTTTAGGGGTGTTTGGACCAGAGGTGTAAGGGAAGCCCTCTTGTCATCTCAGCCTACAATCAGGTATGTGATACTGTACCTTTCCCATCCAGCACAAAGAAACAGGTCCACCTCAATGGTGGCCCCTCTAGCAGCCTATACTTATCTTCTTTTACTCCCTGCTGCTCTGGATATGGGGAAGCATGTGACCCAAGCCCCATTCTTTCACAGCGCTGATGCAGTTGGATTGCTGATCTCCGAGCTTATTCCAGGTTATGTGGCTCAGAAGGCATTGAAGTTATTGGAGCAGAATGACAGCCAACTGGAATTGGGGGACAGCAATAGCAATATTCTGTCTGTATAGGTTTCCTTTAATTGTACATATTCTGGCAACACTGGGCACATTTACAGCTGCCCACTACAATATAGTTTATAAAACAGTAAGCCTGCAACTGGGTTTTCAGCAATTAATAAAGGGAACTTGTAGTCACATGATGTGTGTGTAATGTAATTCAAACTTTAAAGGAGAACTATGGGGTCAGTGTTTTTCCCCATAGTTCTCCAAAGGGTAACGGGAGGACACAAACTAGCGTCCTCCCGTTACCCTAAGCTCAGTATACCGCGAGCTACAGCTCGCGGTATACTGAGACGCCGCAGCCGGGACGGATCACGACTCTTTTGACGGGATCCGCCCTGCTGCGTGAGTGACAGCTGGCTCTGCCTATCTAGAGGCAGAGCCAGCTGTACCCGCCCCCTCCCCTGTCCGTTCCGCCAGTCAGCGCTGGCAGATCGGAGCGGTGAGAGGGGAATGCAGCCCCTCCCCCTGTCACGGCAGAGAGCCGTGACAGGATCGAGAGGTGAGGGAATCCGGTATGTGTTCCCTCACCTCCCGTTCTACTGAGCCGACCTGTGACAGTCTCATTGTCACAGGTCGGCTTAGAACTATGAGGTGAGTGGAAATCACTCATGCCATAGTTCTCCTTTAATTAAAAAAAACAAACCAAACAAGTTACTAACGACTTAATACAAATCTGTACTGTGTACTTTTTTAGGTATCTGTGCAATATTCCAATCAATCATCCACATTGTCACACCCTGTCATACATATAACATGAAAGGTAGAGGTTACAATCTTAAGAATCAAAACATAGCAACATAGCTTCTAAGCAGGTCAAATAAAGATGAATATGCAAATAAAAGCCAATATGCAGGAAAAACAAGAAATATTAAGTCTGCCAAGCAAAAATTATTTATATGATGATATTTTCTCATAAATAGAACAAGGAAATTTGATGTATACAGTTTGATCACAAGGCACTTACACAAATGACCCGGTTAGGAGACCCAATGCTGGATCCCGGAGGGGAGATTGATGTCTCAGAAGCTCTTCTGTACTGTGAACACATAAATAAACACAAACATAACCCATGAATACTCTAACAATTGTTTTTGGTTTTGCACGGCAGGGTGACAGCAGCCCCATCTGTAAGAGGCAGTCCGCATGTAACTGTACATGGTACAATTTCATGCGGTTTGGAATGGATGACTATCACTGGATGCATCTATTCTGCTTCCAGCGACAATCATCTATCCCAAACCACATGTCATTGTACCATGTACAGATACAGTAATTTACTTTAATGTGCACAGTGGCCGCATCTGATTGGGGACCCCTGGCATACCTGCCATAGGTTCTTGCTGCACGAATGCTGGATCGCCCTGTGTGATTGGGGCCCAAGTCTTAGTAATCACTTTCAAGGCTGAGGTGGAGCTTACAAATACTAGCGTTAAGTAGGTTTTGTATTATATAATTATATTACAGTATACATACACATTGTATATTACAGTAGTGTTTTGTACACTCTTGCTTTCTTATTTTAAACTATAGTAAGAAAACATTGGATAGTAATACATAATTAATACATTAATAGCATACATGGATTAAGTGATATCAGGTTATGATCAGTGCTGTAAAGACCAAGTTCAGAAATAGGGGAATTTCCTCTCAGGACAGGAAGTAATAGGACATCTCTTTAACATGGATACAGACAAAAAAAAATTTTTTTTAGTAAAGTGGGGAAGGGTTAGAACTTTGCATGGTGTTTGTATTTCTCTCTGTGGCTTTCTGTTTCCCCCATTTCTTGTCCTGGTGCCACAGGGAAAGGAACCAAGGTATATTTCCTCAATAGTGGCACAGACAGATATAAAAACTTGAAGGAACTTTTAACTCCTAAATCTTCAAAATGTGGCTGAATTTATATTTTAAATTATTAGATGCAAAAGGACAAAGAAAAAGAAAACTACTACGGTGGCCCCATATATTTTCAATTTCTGCTTGGTCAAAATTCTGATTCACATGAGCTGTGTTTTTACAATCAATAGTATCTCCAGTATTTTCTCTGCATCTCCCCTGTGCACTGGAACAAAATGAATTCATTACATCCATTCTGAATTAAACAGCAGAGTATTATGTAATTAGTAATAGCTGTACTGAACAAGTGACAATGAGGCTCCATCACTCGTATTGCATCATCCTGTGTACATCTCATTTCTGCAGTTCTTGGATATGAATATCAGGTTCCATGTGGATTTCCTTCCCCTCTCTGACTCTGCTGAAATGGAAGAAGTACTAGAAGTCCAGGGCACTATTCTGCAGTGCTAGCTACTGCGTATGGGCCAAGTTTGAGTAATTTTCTAAAATGCAGGGCCCAGAGTTAAAATACAACTGCAGTGTTATAAAAGATGGTAAAATGACTCTTGGTCTGTTATGTAAATTTCAGCCAGAACCTAGATTGTCACACTTTGGCCTACCCTTTCCTTCCCCGTATGTCCCCAATGACCATTCATCTTTTATGCTTTTTAAGGGGTCGATAGGCAGGATCATCTTCACCAGGGATAGGCAACCTCATTGGCTTTCTAACCAATCAGGAAGCCAGGCAGCACGTAATGACCCACCTCCCAGCTTCCTGATTGGTTAGGAAGCCAGGCTGCCTAGCAACAAGTGAAGCCGGCTTCCTAGCCAATCAGGAAGTCGGGAAGTGGGTCATGACATAACGCCTGGCTTCCTGATTGGCTAGGAAGCTGGCTTCACTTGTTGCTAGGCAGCCCAGCTTCCTGACCAATCCTCATCACTCCTCATGACTTGACCCCCGACTTCCTGATTGGGCAGGAAGCCAGGCCTCCTCAGCAAGTGAAGTCGGTGTTCTTTCGCTAGAACACCGGCTTCACAGGCAATCAGGAAGCCGAGCGACAGGTCATGATCGGCCGCCCGACTTCCTCATAAATCGGGCACACTGCACCCATATCGGTGCATCCCTACCTGCAACCCTGGCCCGGTGGTTGTGAGGGTCTTTTTGGTAGGATCTAAACATCATTTTTGCATTTACCGAACAGATACGACAACACACTTTTAATGGTATTTTTAACAGATCAAAAGGGAGCAAATAAGAGAAGTTCGTTGTTAGTTTTTTTATATACTTTAAGTATGACTTGCAATGTTCTCATTGCAAATTCATACAATTATGACCTTATTTCAAAACTTAAAACAGGTTCTCTTTTCTAATTACCACGGAGCAGGCCTTCTGTTTTTTTGTGCCCTTAGTGAATGTAACTCACATGTAAATGACTAAATCAGCTGCTCTGCTTTTCTGGAAGACTACGATGTTTAAAAAAAAATTGAATTAATTTTGAAAAAAATTATAAAATTTGTCAAATATTCAAGCAGACCAATGGCAATGTAACGGAGCTGCTATACAGTCCACACACCTTTAGCTTCTTCTCTGCCCGAGCTGCTTGCTTGCAGATTGGATGCCACACTTCAGAGCCTGGAGAAAACAGGAATTTCTGATTAACAGTAATAATGGCAGGTAATTAGAAGAACTCTGTTAAAAGGTACGACCGCGAAAACAGAAAGTAATGACAGCAAAGGAGACCAAGTGGAACCTAGAAGCTGATATAATAAAAATCAGAATTAGAGAGCGCTTTGTGTGCGCCCCTCATTTTGCCCTATGAAAACACATTTCCATAGATCACTGGCAGTTAATGGGATATTCGGTACACACAGCAGTATTTGAAGGTCAACTTCAGCATGATGACGGCTCTCTTGGGAATCCTAGATAATAGCTCTGTCTGAATTCTTTGTGCTACTGGCACACAAGGCGTGATGGGGATTTACATCTCCAAGAAACAGTCAGCGTACGTTGCCCGGCAAACATGGTAAATGAAAACTCTTGCACTGTGATGGTATTTATTGACAAATGGAAAGAGTTAACAGTGAAGCCACTGAGGACTGAGCCTTGAAATATGCCGTTTGGTGTGCAGACAGAGCCAGCAGTCTGTTTCCTGGGAACGTGGGGAGCAGCCAAAGGTGACCAACCCACGCAAGTGCACAGGGAATTCACAATGAATTGCAGATTTACTAACATGCAGCAGCTTTCACTGTAGTCTGACAGATGTTTTTAGAACTTAATAGGTTGCTTGCAACAGGATGACAACACACTTTTCCCCCAAAATAGATTAATGCTCTATACGGAAAAATAATCATTACAGTTCAATTAACGTATGAAGACTCTAAAATTCAAAGGCTTAAAAAAAATGTACAAAATTATTTTAACTTGGACTGTTTGCAGCAAGTTCAGGCGCTCGCTTCTGAAAATATGGTACACTATTCAAAGTAAGCCAGCAGAGGGCGCCAAAAATGTCTTTTGCAGTGAGCCATAGGGAGTGAAAATGTGCGATGATGTAATCTTTTAGCTGGTTTATAAATACATTACTGACTGCAGCATATATTAGACAGACACATACAGCAGTTATTTTGGTGTAATTCATTTTGTTGGAAAGCATATGGAATCTGTAAAGCCTGTCCATAAACCATAATATTTAACAAATAGATAATTTTATACATCTCAGGTATCTACCAAGAGAACCTAGAAAATCTGGACACAATAAGCAAGTTGTGCAGGTCTGCTGATCCACGAAATTGAGTGTCTGCCCAAAAATTCGTATCAATCATATTAATACACTGTGGGATCTATAAAAAATAAATAACTGTGCAAATGTATTAACTTGTCTTTTACAGGGCAAATGTAGTATTCTCTATTGCCCTAAGACAGTTTTTCTTGACCAGGGTTCTATGCAACCCTTGGGTTCCTCCAGAAATTGCTTGGGGTTCCTTGAGAAGAGAACAGCCTACACTGACCACCAATGTAAGGGGTTACTTCTTCACTGATCACCAATGTAAGGGGCGTTACTCCACTGGTCACCAATGTAAGGGGTTACTTCTTCACTGACCACCAATGTAAGGGGCGTTACTCCACTGATCACCAATGTAAGGGGTTACTTCTTCACTGACCACCAATGTAAGGGGTTACTTCTTCACTGACCACCAATGTAAGGGGATACTTCTTCACTGACCACCAATATAAGGGGTTACTTCTTCACTGACCACCAATGTAAGGGGATACTTCTTCACTGACCGCCAATGTAAAGGGTTACTTCTTGACTGACCACCAATGTAAGGGGAGTTACTCCACTGATCACCAATGTAAGGGGTTACTTCTTCACTGACCACCAATGTAAGGGGTTACTTCTTCACTGACCACCAATGTAAGGGGTTACTTCTTCACTGACCACTAATGTAAGGGGATACTTCTTCACTGACCACCAATGTAAAGGGTTACTTCTTCACTGACCACCAATGTAAGGGGAGTTACTCCACTGATCACCAATGTAAGGGGTTACTTCTTCACTGACCACCAATGTAAGGGGTTACTTCTTCACTGACCACCAATGAAAGGGGTCACTACAATTTTCATTGTCTGTGTTTCTTTTTTGACTAGAATTATTTGTTTCATTTCATGATTTTTATGTAAACCTAATTCTATATATTTTTAAAGTCTATAACCTAATAATTAAGCAAATGTACCATGAGCTATAAGTATAATAATTTAATAGGGGTTCTCTAAGACCAGAAAACTATTTCAGGGGTTCCCTATAAGGTTGTCCTTTGCAGTGACTGCTCCTCCATGCCTCTTATGAGTTTAGTCACCCTTCACTGCACTCTCTCCAGTTCCACAACAGCCTTTTTTGTGAACTGGTGCCCAAAACTGAACTGCATATTCCAGATGAGGTCTTACTAGTGCTTTTTATAGGGGCAGGATAGCCGAAAACAATAGTCCAAGAACATTCAACCAGGGGAGAAAAAAAACTAAAACAAACCAAGAACATCCACCCAGAAGAAAAAAAACCCAAAACCTGATGATAGCCCGAGAACATTCAACCAGAAAAAAAAATGCCTAAAACAATAGTCCAGGAATATCCATCCAGAAGAGAAAAAAAGCAAAAACAATAATCCAAGAATATTTGACCATAATAGAAAAATACCTAAAACAAAAGTCCAAGAACATTCGACCAGAAGTGAAAATAGTCTAAAGCAATAGCCTCACAATAATTTACCAAAAATGTGTAAAACAATACCCAAGAACATTGGGCCAGAAGAGAAAATACATTACAGTTTGCCCCACTTGCACAACAGCCACATCTTTTTACACTATGCGACTATTCCCTAAAACTAATGATCGAATGCTGGTTAATTTACATGGAATGATTGTACATCAGGTTTTGCTGGATGATCAGCTATGCAAATGTTTTACAAATATACCCCTATGTCTATTTCAACAAGAAATACACTTTTAGCAGCCTAACTGAGCAAGACCATAACACATTGGTTCCAGTACATTACTACTTACAGGTTTAAAGCAGAAATTGGGATATTGATTTCATACGAGGAGATCTTAAATAGTTAAACATCACCAAGACCACATGTGGTTTCTAACTTTAACTATTTCTTCTCCATCTCCCGGCCTGCTTATAACAGTATTACAAAACAAATTTGCTCTTTGCCAGCTGTGTTGTATATACATGTGTATATGGGTTGGGCACAGACAACCTTTGGACTATATAGTTCCTGCTCCCTATTATAAAGAGGTAAAAGTGTGATAGAAGGCTACTAGTAATAATTTAAAAAAAAACAGTTCCATAGGTTCAAAACCTATGGAAAACCTTTTTTTAGAGACATAGTAGGTTCTGCCTTTTGGCAATTCCTCTTCTGAAGAAGCCAGTTATCTGGCTCTAGTACACTGGCCTACTGGGTCCACTAAGATTCACAGAAATCCAACATGAGCCTCATGTTGGATTTCTGTGATATCATTGTCCATTAAAAGGACTCATTCATTTTAACTTATGGAGTGCTGGTGACCTATTTTCTTCAATCTTGTGTTTAGGTTAGTAAATCACCCCCACTGACTTGGAACAAGTATGCATATCTGTAAAGTGAGAGAAAAGTCAGACATCCTTTTTTGCGTGCTTGTTCTAGGTAAGGGACACAAAATATTGTTGCAAGAGGGTAAACATGACAGTCGAGATGTTAACATTTGCAGAATGAGAATTTGCAATGACAGCCTCCATGTCCCTCTAAGTAAAGGTAACCTTTAAAAGAGAAAAATCATACTGGTTCCAGTTTAGAGATTTAGATGCAAATAATGCATGCTTAATCTAAAACATTATTGTGCAGTCACACAAAGTGTGTAGAATAACTATGTGCACTTTTCCTAATCTCATGCAATGCTCCAAAAGTTAAACTGCAGATGTCTGGTTTTTGATTGCAGGCCTTGTTCTTTGCTAGGAGACAGCGTCTTGCTTTGATTAATCTCAGGAACTGATCACTGTTAATCTCTAAACATTACTATAATAAGACATCATTTTTTTTGCTTCATAATGAGCTCTGTTATCTCCTTTGTGCTCTGTTTGGATCTACGGCACAGGGTGGAAAAGTTAACCGAGGTGATGTGAGTATAGCAGACAGGTTGTGATGGGATATACATTGTGACTGTGTTAAGCAAAGCCCCCGTGACAAATCTCTTACCTGTCAGGTACATCTCCTCTCCTTCTGAGAACATCTGCTGGCAGCGTACACAGCGGGCACATGTTGGATGATAGTGCTTTCCTCCTGCCTAAATTAACAGACACCTATTAGGACTTCCGTCACAAGATTTTTTTACATAACAGGTCAGTTTACAATTAACTCCCATTATTGCACTGGGAAATCCAGACTAAAAGCAGATTCAATCAGTCAACTACTAAAGCTACGTATGAAATATTACAAATGTGCTCCAGGAAGGGTCAGAGAAAGGCCTCATCCACTTGGGAAGAAAAAACGTTTCTTTTTTTTTTTTTTACGATTCTGAGCTCTATTTCAGTCAATGTGTCCCTGCACAGTGTGGGATTTAGATCTACAGGGATGATGTGAGGTTTAAATTCAGAAGGAGGGTAAATGTGAAGGTTAGTTTTAGAGTTACAGGGAAGGTTAATGTAAGGGTTAGGGTTATTAAGAATGTTAATGTTACAGACAGTGTGAGGGCCTGTGTTAATGGGCTGTGATGGGTAGATACAGCATAATTTGACATCAGTTTGAGATGCTTCTGAAATAGTTCAGAAATTACCTCAGGTGCATTTGACCTGCTTTAACTGATTTTGCATTCCTATAGACTTTTTTAGGGAGAGACTCAGTTCTGAATTAAACAAAAATCTATTGACACTGCTGGCCCTTAGTATGAGGGTTGGGGGGTTAAGAAAGGGTTAGTGTGAGGGTTAGGATTACAGGGATGGCTACTGTTAAGGTTACAGGATAGGTTAGTGTGAGTGAGGATGGCAGTAGGGCTCAAGGAGCTCTGTGCAGTAGACCACAAATTCTAAGGGGGGTGGGGGCTGAAATGACCATCATACTCCTCCTTTGCAGGCCTTGGCCATTTTAAGATTTTAAATTAATAGGTCTCCGGCTTTTTCATAGTTTTGCAGTAAAAATGTTTAGAAAAGGTTTTGCCTCTTCTATTTATGATTTGTAACGCATGGCACCATCCGTTGTTGTCACTACAAGCACCTTTCTTTATTGTTTTGGTCAGAATCCTTTTTGGAGTGCAGTTTGGGTCTGTATTATCACCTCTAAAAAGGTCAACAATTGTGCAAGTTGCAATCATTTAATAAAGATGTTAATGACAGGATAAGATTTTAAACATATTACATAACTGTTAATTTCCGACATTTTGCAGTATTTATACACAACACTCACTACAACAAATGTGGCCCCTTTCCAGCATTACCTGCACAATTCGGTACCATGCCACATTTGAATTAGACATTTCGGTAGTGGGGCAGCTCAATGCACAGCATGAAATCCTGAATTAAAGTCAGACCAAACACACATGTAGACTATGTACCCCCACGTAGTAGTTGAACTACAAAATGTTCTATGTTTAATCCCAACATTCGGTTATATTTGAGTATGTTTAATGTGGTTTGTGCAATCAAAGGTTTTTTTATAATTTTTTGGGGAAAAGCCAAAAACTGTTTTTGGTCTAAATTTAATGAAAAGGGTATATTAAAATAAAATCCTAGAGACAACCTTTTCCTGCTGGTAAAGATAAAAGCCACAGAAAATAAACATGTAAATTCAAGCATTTCTATAACAAGGCAAATTGTAAAAACTACAAAGCTGCACCAGCAGACTCATTCACTGTATAATGATGATTTTGTATATTTCAAAAGAACAGCTAAATGATTTTGACACCCATCGAAAGAAATACGATTAGTCATCATTGTGCACGGTATGCAATTTAAATGACTGCTGAGCCTGTAAAGATGTGTTTTGGCATTCAGGTGCTCCTAGCCATTGACAAAATTTTTGGCTGGATCAGGCAGTAATCTTATGTCTATTGGATACTGCCAGACATTCCTGCATAAAACCCTCACAGGTCCTTTAACACGCAATCATCAACCACCGCCACAACACCTAGAAGCCCATATCACAGTGATCCCCAAAGAAGGTAAAGACCCTCAGCTCTGTACGAGCTACAGGCCCATCTCCCTACTTAACGTAGATCTGAAGTTATTCACAAAGGCCCTGTCGAATCGCCTTCTCCCGCTACTGCCTGACCTGGTTACTACCTGCCAGGTGGGCTTCATTCCGGGGAGAGAAGCCAAAGACAGCACCAGCAGAGCATTGAACCTTATACACTGGGTGCAGCAACGGAAACTCGAAACGCTGGTGCTGTCGACAGATGCGGAGAAGGCATTCGACAGGGTAGCATGGGACTTCATGTTCGCGTTCCTCAGACACATAGGCCTGGGAGAACGCATGCTTGACTGGATACGAGCCATATATTCTTGCCCCAGAGCTAGGGTACGCACAATGGGCTGTTTCTCAGACAGCTTTCCGATAACCAACGGGACCCGCCAGGGGTGCCCACTGTCCCCCACGCTCTATGCACTAGTACTGGAACCCTTCATTAGAACAGTGCAAAAGGATGACCTAATAAGCGGCATCAAGATAGGACCCACGACACACAAAACGATGGTGTACGCCGATGACCTACTTTTCATGCTCTCTGGCCCCTTGCCATCTCTGAAGCGTCTAATGACTGCTTTTGAACTATACAGTTCCTTTTCCAATCTTAAAATAAACTTCACAAAATCGGAGCTCATGCCCCTCAACATACCTCACGCCATGCGACATTCCCCTTCCTATGGAGGCCAACCCGAATACAATACCTAGGAATAAAACTGACCTCAGATTTATCCCTTCTCTATGACTCCAATTTCACGACCATACGTGACACAATTCTCAAGGACCTCAAATCTTGGAGGCAACACAGCTTTTCCTGGCTGGGAAGGGTAGCGATGCTGAAGATGAACGTTCTCCCCAGACTGTTGTACCTATTTCAAACCATACCCATCAAGCTACCGCACACATTCTTCAAGACACTAGACAAGAGCTTTTCCACCTTTGTCTGAAAAGATGCACGACCTCGCTTAGCTTGGTCCCTGCTTAAAGCACCTAAACATATGGGTGGATTAGGGGTTCCTGACATGTACACATATTATAAGGCCACACACCTCACCAGAGTTGCACACTGGCACCTCCATACAGACTCGAAATTATGGGCGAAACTAGAAAATGGGATGTTTGGCACTCCTCTTACGTCATTGGTATGGCTGAGAGACAACCAGTGGTCCACCACTATAAAGAACCATCCACTCATTGGGGCGACTTTAGCAGTATTCTCCACCGAGCGGCAACGCAACATACTCACCTCGTCACAAGGCCCCATGGAACCCCTAATGCACAACCAGGACTTCCCTCAAAGTACCACCAGAGAATTCCTCTCGCATTGGTCCCAGGAACCCCCCCTCCGAGCTCATTTATTTTTCAAATCCAATACATTCATTGATAAAGCTAACCTTTCAGAGCTCACAAGGAGAGGCTCACTCCCCTGGTGGATCTATCTGCAGATACGGCACTTTCTCACATCCCACACGCGCAAAACATCCACCGCTAGACCCCTGACCCCCTTCGAAAGACTCTGCCTGGGGAAAGACTCGACTGGACGATTGATCTCATGGCTACATGACCTGATACGAGAAAATTCTTCCCACAAATAACTCGCCCACACTCTAAATGGGAGCAGACCCTCCGCACCACGCTCTCTGACGAAACCTGGGCCGACATACTGTATGTACAACAGCTCACAAATGCACTATAGCAGAATGCAAGAAACGAACTACAAACTTCTCACGTCTTGGTACAGGACGCCCCACACGCTACACCGCATTTACCCATCAGTATCCCAGTTATGCTGGAGATGCCACGCGGAAGAAGGCACCCTTACCCATATCTTCTGGTCATGCTCCCTCATTCAACCCTTTTGGGAAAAAGTATACGCAGCCATCCACAAAATAACCGGGGCCACACTCCCCTTCACCATCACAGCCGCTCTCTTGCATTGGGTACCAGATCGCCCCACAGGAGCATATAAAACACTCCATAGACATCTCATCAATGCTGCACGCACTATCATCCCTCGGCACTGGAAGACAGACCACACATCCACTGTAAGAGAGTGGCTGTCACAAGTGGGCCATGTATATGAGATGGAGGAACTTCAAGCTACTAGACAAGACACCCTAGATGCCTTCAGATCAAAGTGGATCTGCTGGTCTTACTTCATTGGCACTGCTGCTTTTACTGCCTTACACTGAAACGCTCCGTAAGAAGCAAGGGAAAAGAGGCGGCCCCATCCCCCATTGTCACGCAGGCCCCCCCCTTACACAATACCCTAACATGTACCGTCCCACTCTCTCACCCATGACCTATCCCTCTTTCCCTCTTCCTCCCCCTAAGCTCCCACCCTGACCCATCATATCACAGTTGTACTGAATGACCCATACTCTCAGTGCTCCAGAACCCCTACAAGGTCAGCAACAACATCCCGCTGCCGTGTCGCAGCTGGGATGACAGATCAACAAATACTAGGAGCAAAGGAACCACCTATAATGCGACATACATGATCCCACGAATTCTGCATATTGACTCCAGGAAAAGGCCGTAAAGATAGTTCCCGGTTTTGCATCCATTACTGCAATGGCCAAAGTCTGCCGACTGTACTCCCCCCCCCCTACTTTCTTCATACCTTCTTCCCCATAAACAGGATTGAGGATTGAATGCCTACACTTATGGTTATTTTGGTACCTGTTGTAATCCCAGATATGGGCTCACAGTATAGCTGTGTTTGTCAGTTTATTTGTTTGTACGTGTGACTACATTCCTTTGTACCCTTTATAAAACTCAATAAAACTTATTTGAAACAAAAAAAAAACCCTCACAGGTCAGAAAATAATCAGACATGTTAGAAAACATTCTATTGCTACCCACCCCCCTCCCCAATAAGCTGCGACTGAAATGATCTGTAGGGTTAGAAGTCATGTCCCAAATGGACTTAACAGGAATGCTTATGCAAACCAAGTATTGCTGTTTATGGGACAAAGCTGTGCTGCCAATCACTGTGAGATGGTTAAATTGCTTATGGCCAAACTTAACAGGACTCAACACATGTTGGCAGTTGTGGGTAAACACAACTGAGGGTTATATAATATCTTAACGGGCATTTACTGTAGATATGCAAGCACAATTTAATCTTCCTTTGGTAAAATACTCATATGATGGGTATCTGAAACACAAACTCTTCGCTTGGCCAAGCATTAGGGTTTATGCATACAATAATTGGCATGTCTAGCACATCATCCCATTAATAACTAATCTTGTGGGAGACAACATTGTCTGGACAAGTTTTGCTAGCCCATGTACTAATTTTTATACCTGTTGCCTGTTGTGTATGCAGCTACCCATAGACATGAGATTTTCACCTGAGCCAGCCAAAATCAATAACAAATTGTGGACATTTCCAACCATCAATTTGATTTATTACGATAATGATGATTTTAAAAGGAATTATAGAGATTCATTTATTGTAGTTTTCAGAAAGCAATAATTACATTAAACAGCTGTCAATCATTAGGCAGTAATCGAGTTGTAGAGACATGTGAAAAAGTAAGAACACCCCATGGAAATTGTTGCGGGTTATTTACAAAAGAGTCAAAGAATTTTGCAGAATGTTTGGCTAATCCTTCGGCTTGCTTCGGCTGCAGAAACCCTTCGGTTCAGCTGAACCTAAGGGCTGCTGTACACACTATTCTCAATAGCATGTACAGCAGCCAAAGTAAACAGCCAAAGGCAGCCCAATGAACAATCAGCCGGAGCAGGGAGAATGGTCTGTCGAAGCGGAGTGAATCCCTGCAATTGTGTCAAAAAAATAGACTAAAATAAATAAAAACAGCGTAGGGTTTCCCTCCCCAATTCATACCAGACCCTTTAGGGGAGGCCTCAAGGCAACCACTTTTTTTTTTTTTAAAGGTGGAGTCAGGAATGGCAACCCTAATAGGTTCCTTTAGGAGTTTTTTTTTTTGCACGATTTTGCTTTGAAAACTGAGTAAACACTGTGCATAGAGATTTCTATGGGACCACAACTGTGCAACAACCGCACGAAAATAGCTCCTGCACCTATTTGCGCGAAAGGTGATTAATGGGAATCTGTATTTTGCACAATAAATTGCTTAGGTGTAAACCTAGCCTCAAGCTTAGCATATTTGTCATTTTTCTGACCCTTTTTGAGTGTTTATACAGGCTTTGTTTGGGCATTTCGGACTAGAGCGCTCATTTTCATTATTATTTTCAGCCAATGGAAAGCTAGTTTCTAGACAAGAAAATGCATGAAAAACTTACTTTACATGCTTTTTCTGGCGCTTTCAATTAAATCGATTGAGACCAAAAGAAGATCATGTACTTTTTTGTTCTACAGGTGTTTTGCTACAAGCCACAGAACACTCATATATGATTGGGGGCCATAGAAAACAATGGGACTCCTCCTGTTGAGTGTTGTAGCACTTAGGCATTTGACTTACAAAACGCTGAGGTGTGAATAAGGCCTTATAGTGCTAGATTCTAGGGTAGGATATTGTTTATTCATTTTATTTTCACTGTGCGGTTTGTAGAGGGAACTTTGAACTTTAACACCTTTATAATAAATCTTAGGTTTGCTTATAACTTCTTTGAGTATGTGATTCACCAAAGTGTTTTGTATGACTTCCCAGGAAAGTCACATAAGCTAAGGTCGCGGTGGCGATCTGCCTTGAGGAGCCGAAGAACTAAAGTGCTTTATTTCCACTCTATTGGCTCAGTACAATCCAGGCAGATCTCAGGGAGGTGTGCTGAGAAGCTGCTGACATGAAAGAGATACGGACAGACAACGGAAACTGAAGCAAGCTGAGCAAACAGCAGAAGGGAGAATGACATTATAATGTACAACATTACACGGGGAAGATAATAGCAGGGAAGGCAATATACATATTTTCAGAAGATGGTAAACTGGAAATAGACAACAACGCTTGAAACGGCAGTCCTAAGAGGACACCACTGTCTCCTAATTCACTACAACAATGGACTTGATTACTCAGTACTTCATGGAATACCGGCAGGCTTACGATTCCATTATTTATGAAGCACTAGCTTTTTCAACATACCTTACTACATCTTTAAATCTACATTTGTGGCAGTTTAAAGTGTTACTCTACCATTTAGTAGGTACTAAAAGCTATAAAGCCACTCAGTCGGAGATAAAAGCAACTTAAATACATTACAGTTTTTATCATTTCATATCTTGTTGCTCATGATCTCAATGTGGCACTGATAGTGTTCTGTGATGATACTTTAGATGCCTATTAAGCCAAGTATGCTTCTTTTAGGGATTGATTTAGTATGGTTTATGAGTTAAGGCTAATCTTAATGTTAGCATCAAGGGTTATGGGTTAAAAGAAATCGTTGCTAAGAGTAATATGGGAGCAGCAATTGCTGACCTTCTGAAAATGCTAGCTGCCTGGCTATTCCTCCAGCTTTAGTATTTCTCAGTCATTGACACAGAGTGAGTGTGCATAACAGGAAAGTCAGAAGAGCCTACCGGTCTATTTGTTCTGGGTCACTGATTTAAAGTACAAAGGAATGAGGGTCAGACTGACAGACAGGCAACTAGCATTCAGAAAAAGGTCAGCAATGGCAACCTCCATGTTTCTTTAAAGCTTGGTCCAATGTAAGTATTTACATATATGTATGTACATACATATGGAATCCCTGGCAGTGCCATGGGGATCGTGTAACACACTGTAGCTACTATGGTGTATGACAGCATCTTTCGGGTCCAGCAGGAGAGTTGCTTGCTCAGCTTGGTGGCCACTCAAAGTCAACCTAGTATATTTATGATTGCATACTAGGCGTTCTCTGATTGGGCGGTAATGTCACACTTTGTCCAATCAGAGAACCGAACTCCTGGTAGATAAAAGGCCTCATGCACACACAACGCAAGAGCAAAATAATATGTTGCGTATATACGCGTATGTATACGTGCGTAAACGCGTATATGCGTGCACTGTATGCAATTCCAGAATGCATCATTCTTAATAGAAATTTTAATGTACAGTGCACGCGTATCGCGTGTAAAATACGCAGAAATACGGAGTTTGGGTCCATTTTTTTGTGCATCTTTACGCAGCGCAAATATACCGCTTAATGCGCAGTTATGTGTATGGAGCCATTTATTTGCATATGCTGCATATGGGAAAATACGCTGCACGCATCTATACGCAGCGTATTGTACGGCAGTGTGAATGAGGCCTAAAAGTCACAAATTAATGCCACAATTATTAATTTACTAAAACAATCAAAATTACCCAAAGGTTGGGGTTTATACAAAAGGGCATCATCATTTGGGTGTGGCTAGAGCTTAAAGGGGAAGCTTCCAAACAAAGTTTTGTTAGGCTCCATTCACACCTAAGCATATTGTCACACTTCAATCAGCGCGACAAAAAGCTCGCCCCAGGAATACCATTCAGTTCTATGGCCCTTTTTCACACCTGGGCATTTTGTCGCAAACAAAAATACGGCTGTTGCACTAAATTCTACATGAGCTACTTTGGGGTTTGGATTTAGCGTATTCTCCCCATTTGGCTCAATAGAAAATGCTTGGAAAACGCGCGTTGCAATAATTTTTGAGCAGATTAGGCACGTTTTACCCATGCACATGAATATGTCACAGTCTTCTCATAATCTGTTTGCAATCTGCTCAGTATGCCACAATCTGCTCTATATGCCACAAAAACGCGCAAAAACTCTCACTAAAAAAGCACGTAAGACGCGCGTAATAGATGTCGCTCAGGTGTGAATGCAGCCTTATGGTCATAGCTAGGCATGCATTAGAATGTGTAGCAGTGTGCAGAGGGTAACTATTGTGTGTTGCATAGGACTATACACTGTACATGTATGGTAAACCATTGTTAACCGCTGTTACCACTGCCCCACCAAAATATGGACGGGTGTGGAACATTCTTTTATTGTTGATGTAGCGCAAAGAGCGGCTGTAAAAGGACATGACTCTGATTTATTGATATGATTACCACATTTGCAGGGTATGGCATATGATAAATGTATTTTTCAACAATGGAAGGGAAAAAGCTTAATGAGTTCCACTGAGGGGATGTCAGAATATGTTAAAGTGCTAAACAAGTTAATAGCTTTGATAAGTGACAGTTCATTTGAAACACACAGGACAAGTGTTGTTCCCTTGCTAGGATCAGTTATTCTAGAATGTCCAGCTGTACTGGTGGCTTGTCATAACAACCATACCTCCAAGACTCTGCCGCTGATGTACTTGTTGCAGGTCTCACACTTAATTCCAAACTGAGAGTGGTAGTCCGTCTCACAATAAGGTACGCCATCTCTGGAAATGAATAAAGAAACCATAAAATATCTAACAATGTTTTATGGGGTGATACCAGTATCTGGTAATGGGGACCTAAACAAAAATAAGGGGTAAATAAACTTTTCTTAGAGTGGCAAACCACAGGCAACGCAGTACAAGAAAGTATAACATGATTATTATAACACATGGACTGCGTACATACCTCAATGCAAGAATTATTTTTATAGAAAAATAAGTCTTCCTCTATTTTTCAAAGGCAAGGCAAAGCACATATAATTTGCAAGACCCTGTATATGTATGTTGAGAGCAGTTAACAATGAATGTCGATGCTCCACAACAGACAAGCAGTGCATTACAGTGCGTTATAACACACATTATAACACACGCTGTGAAGCGAATTAAAAAAAAAACATTTTTCATGTTAGGTTTAATTAAATATAAAATATAGCAAATTAATTAATAATATATTAGCAGGGGGAGCTCTAGTCTCCTTTTTCCATGCTATCCAAGCTGAAAAATTCCAGAGCTGGATATCTAAGGCATTAGGCTAAATGACTCATCTCCCTCCCTTGTTGCTCTGTGTGGCTACATACAGAGTTGCAATTAGAGACAGTCTGTAACTACAGGTCATCTATGAATAATTAGAATATAGTGCAAAAGTTCATTTATTTCACTAATGCAACTTAAAAGGTGAAACTAATATATGATATAGACTCATTACATGCAAAGCAAGATAGTTCAAGCCGTGATTTGTCATAATTGTGATGATTATGGCTTACAGCTCATGAAAACCCCAATTACCCCAAATCCACAATCTCAGAAAATTAGAATATTGTGAATAGGTGCAATATGCTAGGCTCAACGTGTCCCACTCCAATCAGCTAATTAAGCCATGACACCTGCAAAGGGTTCCTGAACCTTTAAATGTTCTCTCAGTCTGGTTCAGTAGGAATCACAATCATGGGAAAGACTGCTGACCTGACAGTTGTGCAGAAAACCATCATTGACACCCTCCATAAGAAGGGAAAGCCTCAAAAGGTAATTGCAAAAGAAGTTGGATGTTCCCAAAGTGCTGTATCAAAGCACATTAATAGAAAGTTATGTGGAAGGGAAAAGTGTGGAAGAAAAAGGTGCAGAAGCAGAAGGGATGACCGCAGCCTGGAGAGGATTGTCAGGAAAAGGCCATTCAAAAGTGTTGGGGACTTTCAGAAGGAGTGGACTGAGGCTGGAGTCAGTGCATCAAGAGCCACCACACACAGACGGATCCTGGACATGGGCTTCAAATGTCGTATTCCTCTTGACTCCACTCCTGAACAACAAGCAACGTCAGAAGCGTCTTACCTGGGCTAAAGAAAAACAGACCTCGTCTGTTGCTAAGTGGTCCAAAGTCCTCTTTTCTGATGAGAGCAAATTGTGCATCTCATTTGGAAACCAAGGACCCAGAGTATGGAGGAAGAATGGAGAGGCACACACTGCAAGATGCTTGAAGTCCAGTGTGACGTTTCCACAGTCTGTGTTGATTTGGGGAGCCATGTCATCTGCTGGCGTTGGTCCACTGTGCTTCATTAAGTCCAGGGTCAACGCAGCCGTCTACCAGGAGATTTTGGAGCACTTCATGCTTCCTTCCGCAGACGAGCTCTATGGGGATGCTGACTTCATTTTCCAGCAGGACTTGGCACCTGCCCACACTGCCAAAAGCACCAAAACCTGGTTCAATGACCGTGGGATTACTGTGCTTGATTGGCCAGCAAACTCGCCTGACCTGAACCCCATAGAGAATCTATGGAGCATTGCCATGAGAAAGATGAGAGACATGAGACCGAACAATGCAGAAGAGCTGAAGGCCGCTATTGAAGCATCCTGGTCTTCCATAACACCTCAGCAGTGCCACAGGCTGATAGCTTCCATGCCACGCCGCATTGAGGCAGTAATTGCTGCAAAAGGGGCCCAAACCAAGTACTGAGTACATATGCATGCTTATACTTTTCAGAGGTCCGATATTGTTCTATGTACAATCCTTGTTTTATTGATTGCATGTAATATTCTAATTTTCTGAGATTGTGGATTTGGGGTTTTCATGAGCTGTAAGCCATAATCATCACAATTATGACAAATCACGGCTTGAACTATCTTGCTTTGCATGTAATGAGTCTATCTCGTATATTAGTTTCACCTTTTAAGTTGCATTAGTGAAATAAATGAACTTTTGCACGCTATTCTAATTATTCGAGTTTCACCGGTAATTACTAATGTGTTCTCTTTAGAAACCACCTAATGCTTCCAGACATTTTTGTCATTGGTACATCCCGTACTGAATGTTTATTTTTAAAATATTTCACATCAGTAGTTTGAAACATATATAAACATCACTTACTCAAATAAGATAATAAAATTAATTTACCTACAGCTTAACGACAAGACATTTTAATTTATGCTGTGTATCCTGGACAGGACAGAAACATCACATCTTCCACTCATGTTAAATAGAATCTCACTCAGATCAAAGTGACAGGTTCTCTTGAAAAAACCAAACCACCAACTTCTGACACTTTTCAATGCCTCCCTGTTGGAGCCCTCAGCACTCAATACTTCCAGTAAAACTTCCAGGTATGCTTATGCATATGGGGGTGCATACCTGGAAGGAAGTATTACCTCCCAGGATACGTTGCAAGGCCTCGATGGCCAATCCCAAGACCCGAGCACTGTCACACGGAGAGGGGAAGAAATCTTTAACACTGTATACGTTTCAGTACAATCTGGCACAGAGCACACACAGGGTTTGGACTTTAGTGCTCTAAAGGAAGAACCGAGCAGTGAATTAAAGGTATCAGTGGGTGGGGGGTTGGTCTTTCCAGAAAAATAGGAGGAACCTCAGTCCCCAGATATTTCTCCACCTGATTTTTCATTGTGAATACGGGATTTGCCACTTGTTGGATTCCAAAACTTGCAAACCAGTGTGCATTGATGGTGAGTTCAGTTCTTCCTCACAGTGCACATATGCAGGCCTTAGTCGCGTTAAGAAGGTGTATCAGCAGCAATTTTTTGCATGTTTTATAGATAATGGTGTATTGTGCAGTATGTATACTGCTGATGGGCACGATATTAAAAGTGACAACCAACATGGCTTCAGGAAACACTGTTTGTGTCAAACCAACCAATTAGCGTTCTATAAAGAGGTGAGTGGCAACCTAGACAGAGGAAAGCCACTGGACCTAGTGTACCTTGATTTTGCAAAAGCATTTGATACGGTACTTTATAAACGTTTAATTTATAAGCTTCAATCTTTGGGCATTAATGAAATGCATAAAGAACTGTGAACATGCCCAGAGAGTATCAATAAATGGCTCATTTTCCAAGTGGTCCTCAGTTGACAGTGGAGTGCCACAGGGTTCTGTCTTGCGGCCATTGCTGTTCAACCTGTTTATCAATGATATTGGGACTGTTATTAATAGCAATATTTCAATTTTTGCTGACGATACCAAAATTTGTAGGGTAGTAAACTCGACAGAAGACATGGAAATATTACAGGAAGATCTGGATAAAATAAGGGGGTGGGCATCTACATGGCAGATGAGATTTAATATTAAGATGTGTAAGGTTTTGCATTTTGGAGTTAAAAATACGAGAGCGAGCTACTCATTAATGGGCATCCCACTGGCGGAATCAGAGGTGGAAAAAGATTTGGGAGTCCTAGTGGACTGTCGCCTTAGTAACAGCACGCAAAGCCAGGCAGCAGCAAATAAGGCAAATAGAGTACTATCATGTATAAAAAAGGAATGTACTGTAAAGACAAATCCATAATTCTGCCCCTGAACAAAACACTTGTTCAGCCACATCTTGAGTATGCGGTTCAGTTTTGGTCACCAGTCCACAGAAAGGATGTCCTTGAGTTGGAGAGAGGATTCAGAGAAGTGCGACAAAGCTAGAAGGCCTAAACTATGAGGAAAGACTGCATGCATTAAACTTGTTGACTCTTGAAAAGAGGAGACTGAGAGGGGACATGATATTAATGTAAAAATTGTTTAATGGTGATGGGGTAATCAGTAATAAACTGTTTACTGTTTGTTCAGTCAAGAATAAAAGAGTCCACCATCCGAAACTGGAAGAGAAAAGGTTTAATCTTAAACAGCGAGGGGGATTCTTTACTGTGAGAGCTGCAAAATTGTGGAACTCCCTTTCACAGACAGTGGTATCAGCCAAGAGCATGGAATCATTCAAGAACTATCTAGAAACTTTTCTCAGCGCACAAGATATAGACATATATACAGGTAGTCTTAGTAACAAACACACACAGACACACACACAAAACCCAAAGGTTGAACTCCGTGGACCTGTGTCTTTATTCAGCCTTAACAACTATGTAACAGCTGTATGTTTTTTGTAATAGCTTTCGCTGGGTTCCTAAAATCTTAGAGTTTGGAGCAGCCTCAGATATAGAGGAGAAAGCCTCCTGCTTCTTGGCATCGCAAATATAGTTTGTAGAATGCCTTTGGCATCTAACTAGAAACCTGTTTCTTATAAGAGACATTCTTCTGAATGATATATGGAGGCTGCCATTACTGACCACCTGTAGCATAGCATCAATTCTAGCTTCATGTTCCCAATCTGTGCAATTTATTCCACATTAGTGGTTCAGAAAGTACTGAAGTCAAAGTGTCAGAATGACAGCCAGGACATTTGCATTTTCAGAAAGAGGTCAGGATTAGCAGGTGCCATTATAATAGGTTTACTTTCATTAAATCAAATAAAGGCATAATAAGTGAAAAGCCTGTTATGGACTAGAAAGAGAAAACAAGTGCAGTTTAAGAACCTATAAGGGTCCATTTATTATTGTTTCCAACCAAGATTCACTTAACTGATTCACCCATTTTCACGTAAGAGTCCATTAGAAATATGGATGAGTCTTGAGTAAATGTTTGTGAACACATTGATAAATTGTATCTATTATATTGAGGAAAATCACTCAGCATTCTCTTCAAGTTGTTAAAAAAAAAAACAAGTGCACATGTGGTTAAGAATAAAAAGCAGATATTAAATTTACTTTTTTTTTCAAGCTAAAATGTGTTTAAAATTAAGTCAATAAAAGAACTTTGAGAATTATTTGAAGAAACTTCCAGACTCCTACACAGAAACAGCCAGGGTTCCATCAGCACTGAAGGATTAGGTGTAACTGTCTGACGTTCAAGCAGCTAAACTCTCTATTTGATTCTTCCATGCTTGTAAGGAGTCAGCATTTTAGACTTTGCAGAGTATGTGGACATGTTTACTTCTGTCCTTGCCTACAAATAAGCTGACTATCTAAAATGAGATTCCTACAATGGCCATACAAATATACACACACTACAGGGTACATTTCATCAGTATGTTTCTGAGTTCCAATACACTGAAGAGTAGTGTTCCTGTTACTCATTGAACAAAGAACTATGACCTAACAGGTGACAGTGCCAACCACTTAGTCAACAGGCTGTCTAACCTAACAACCCTATACTGGATTCTGAATCGAGAAAGCTGTCCAGTGAAACGTCTTAAAGAAAAATACAGCAAGTCCAGTTGCCTTGACTTATTTTTTTACAGATATACCGTGACCTGGATGAATGAGAACCTTCACAGAAACAAACCCTATACTGGCCAACTTCAAAATACAAAAGACATTACAGAAAGCCTCAAAAATATCAGAAAACAGTTTTGGTTTACCATAGATGCTATGGCTGATGTTGATTATTCTTTAAATATTCTAGGATCAGCATCTCAACATTCTCGGTACAAAAGCAATCACTGATGACAGATGGGAGATATTTGTCAAAAAAGTCCAGCTTGCTGAATGATTTTTTTCTGCAAGTGAGTTTTTTTTCCCAGTGAGAATGTTTCTCAGTATATTCATGACCTCTGTTGCTCTGTTATGGTGGAAACAATGGGGCCAAAATATGTAAATCCCCCTTACATGATGATGTAAGGGGGAACAGACATCATCATCTGATTTGTTCAATCTGCTTTAGATTAATCAGCATATATGTAGTGCAATGGCTTACCTAATAGTATGTAAATTGAATAGAATATTCAATTATATACTATTACTACACTAAATACAGTAGTTGTTGGTAAAACGAATTAGATTGTATGGTCGGATTGCAACGTATGGGGCCAGTCTAAAGGATATCTTCCACTGACACACAATTTTTTTTTTTTTAAATGGCCTAAAATTGTACAAGTGGTATAAAATTGATCACAAATGTGTTTCTGTTTATTCACCATCCTCCCAAATAACTCTCCTATCTATAGACAGCCTTAATGGAGTCGGGCTCAAGCACACTGTCTTCAGACATCCAGCTGACTTCCTTACATGAACTTTGACCTGGATACATTTGCTTGTCAATGACCCACTATACTAATGCTGGTTCCATACACAACAGTTGACGAAGGGTGACTAATGATTTGACATATTGGCTACTCACAATCGTTCACAGCACTTTGTCACTCAGCCCCTGCACACACCATGTTATCTATACTCACTTGCTGATGTATTCTCCAGTTAGGATGATGCCGCACGTCTGACACTTGAAGCAACTGACGTGCCACTGTTTTTCCAGAGCCAGTAATGACTGTCCGTGTTTAATCTCTTCCTTGCAGCCTGCACAATCTGAGTAATAAAAGTGAATAACGTCATAACATAACTGTCTCTACAGCATTCAAGCTCCAATGTGCATAAAACTGAACAGCTTTGATTAATGCGAAGCACCTTGAACTACTGTATCATGCAAGCTTTAATTATTAACATTTGTAAACCCATCACCATTTTTTTTAAAATTCAGAATTGTGGGTGCTGGAGGACCTCTGACAATGATGTATTATTCCTCTACTCTGCACTTCTTTTCGGAGCTGCAAAGTGACACTGGAGTTATGATAATAAATGATTCAGATAAAAGCCTTCCCTGTTCTATATTCATATAGTAAAATCTTGCCCTATACTTAGTGCAGAGTGCGGATGGTGATGTGGATAAAAGGAAAGCTAGTGTAGCCATGGTGTATTGTACAGAGGGAAGGCAAATTATCAGTAGATCCACGTAAAGATACAATATACAGCATACAGCTTCCACCACTGCATGAATGACTATCGGCTTAGACCAGATTTACCATTAGGCACAGCTGGCTCGCGGGCCATGGCTAGAGGATGACAGCAGTTGGATAGAGCTGAATATATTCCTTCTGTATAGTACAAAAATCAGGTAAAATAAAGTTAAAGGAGAACTATGAGGTGAGTGCTTTTCACTCACCTCATAGTTCTAGCCGACCTGTGACAATGAGACTCTCACAGGTTGGCTCAGTAGATCGGGAAGTGAGCCAACAAATACCGGCGTTCGCTCACTTCTCGATCCTGTCACGGCTCTCTGCCGTGACAGGGGAGGGACTGGATTCCCCCCTCCCTGCTCCGATCCTCCAGCGCTGACTGGCGGAACAGACGGGGGAGGGAGCGGGTACAGCTGGCTCTGCCTCTAGATAGGCCTAATGGGCATTGGTTAAGGTGTGGAGTTGAGAAAACTGCTGCAGACAAGCACTGCCACATCAGAAAGGGTGTGGAGGGTGTGAAAGGGTGTGGAGTTGAGAAAACTGCTGCAGACAAGCACTGCTCCACCCAGGGCTGGATTTACCCTCTCTGCTGCCCCAAGGCCAGGTTCTTCAATGCGCCCTCTCATCTACCTGCCCAGCTCCGCAAACTGCATGTCCCGGGTGTCGGGTGATAGGAATTGCATACTCCTGCTGCCCCTCTACTCCCTGCTGCCTCGAGGCAGGGCCTTGCTGGCCTTGTGGGAAATCCAGCCCTGGCTCCACCACTGCGTGGGTATGATAGATTTAACTTGAATTCAAATATATGTAAACCCTAACAATAAACTTCTCTTAATTGCTCGTTTAAGTCTGTTAAATGTTTTTATATTTGGTTTTGTTACATATGCCCAATATAAAACCAAAAACTTGTTGATCCTGCCAGAAATCTTCCAAACTGATAGCTTTCTCTGCTCCCTGCCTGTGCTGTTATCAGTTACACTGCTCCCACCTCACTCTGAAGACTACAGAACACGTCTCCCTATGTTATGGAGATGACGAGAGAAAGAGGTGTGCTGTAGTTTTAGCAAGCTTCCTGTTCTAGAGTGAAAATGCTGCTCTTCCATAGATGCAATTTGGTTACCCAAGGACAGGAAGTGTACTACTGGCAGGATCACCAGATGATAATAAAGAAAAATAAAAAGCCTGAGAAAGAAAACTAATGCATAACCAGAAACCATTTAGTTTAAAAAAAAAACTTAGTAGACATGACAGTGGGCCATAGTCGTTAAAATATAGGCACCACTGATAAAACCTAGCTCCCATCAGCTTTATTTAAAAATACTGTAGCAGCCAATCAAACATCTCGTTTTAGCAGCTTAAGTGCAGTCAGTCTATTAAAAGCTGACATTTAAATGGACATCACGGACTTCTTTATTATTAAATTAAACACATTAGTCTCCTGTTTAAAAAGGCAGAAACCAATTACCAATTCTTTGTCACTGTTCTGCTTACTGCACAACAATAGAAGGTACATTTCAAACAGTTCCTATGGGCTATAGCAACAACACTGCCTTGTTAAATAAGACGGTGCTATTCCCATTATGATGCACTCTGAGATTTTTTTTTTTGGATAGATATCTCCTGCAGAAAAAACAATTCTTTTTGACAAGATAATGAAATCCCATCTCTCCTCTCACTTCCTCTCAAAGTATGCTCATAAACCTGACTGCCCCAGGTTTTCTGTCTCCAGTCTCAAGAAGGCAATGAGCAATTCCATGTAACTAGCAGCCATGAAAGTCTTAGAGATCAGTTTATATATCAGGTTTCTTCACGCTACAGATTGACACACGAAATGAACTCAGTGTTAAAGGCAAACCTAAATTGAAAAATCTCTCATTAATGTTACAGCCTGAGTAAAATAGTTGCTATAATATAGGAAAACAGTAACGCTTTCTCTCTTCTGAGTATGAATTGCCATTGCAAGAGCAATTTGCATTGCAATGCATGATACGGTTAGAGCCTATCAAGTCATTTATGCACACTGGGAACATTCTGCAAGTTTCAGTATGCCCATTAAATGAACCATCTCTCATAGAGCTGCCATTAGAAATCATGGGGCCCAGTACAGCCAACAGACGGATCCCCCCTAATGTTGCCATTTGATGAGTTTTGAGAGTAATATTGATCTCTACTCATCTTCCCCCCTTCCCCAGCTCCTCCTGCCTGTAAGGGCTTGTTCACACCAAATCTGGACTAGATCTGCATGTGTTTCTGCACATGCAGTGCAGTGTGTTTTGCCACCTTTTTGCCACTTTCCGGGCTTTTTGTTTTAAAAATGGGCTTTCAGTGCGCTCCAGGGCGTTTGCATGCGTTTTTGATGCGTTCCAGAGCAGACAAAATAGGACATGCTGCAGTTTTTCCACATGCTCTGGAACTGAACGCTCTGTTGTGAACTAGAGCCCAAAATACCATTGGAATACATTGAATGCCGTTTTGATGCGTTCTGTAACTGCCCTGCATCTGCTCCGCATTTGGTGTGACAAGCTCTTAGTGTACAGTGACTCTGCAACTGTTGCCTTGATAACTTTGTGTGCTACACCCGTCTCTATGCCTGGTCACCTAACCTGAGCAAAAGCTCCCCAGCCCAAGCTCTATCATCAAACTCAACAGCTATGGAAGGGGAGCTGGCTCAAGCCCCAACCCCAGAAGGCTGGAGTCCCCAGACAGAGCCGTAGATGCTGCAATGGAGCCAACCACAGGGAGCCTTTGCCTTGTTGACCTACTAGAGCCTGGTATGGGAGTAATGCCTGTAGTCCCACTATTAGTGGCCCTGGTCTTACAGTCTCCATTAAGATTCTGCAGTTTTCCCACCCGGACAGGATTAAATATATTTATAGCTGCCAAGTTGACGTGGCATAGTAAAACATACAGTCAATATTATTAGTTGCAAACTAAGGCAGTTCAGAATCAGATGTGAGGTGATGTGATGATGTGAAGAAGACATGTACTCTTTAATTCTATACAGTAATGAAGCTGATTGGAAACTAAATCTACAATAAAGATTTATCTTGTAAGAATAAATTAATTTCTCAAGATGATGAAAAATGAAAGCTCTCCAGTTGCTATAGTCAACGGCTCCACTTCCTACTTCATTGGCACCAGTCAAATCAGTGGAAGATCGGATTGGTTGCTATTGGTCTTTGCACTTTGTTTACTCTGTCCTGTAGAAAGAAAGAGCTCTGCTGTGACATGTAATAGGAGTCCAACACATTTCATATATTTAATGCCAACAGTTGTGTACAATGGCCAATCTGTCTAGAAATACAGTAACGAAGGTAAAGATGGAGGAAACATGAATTTACTTTGATTTATGTGTCCTGTCTCCTGCATTTCTCTAAGGCACAATCCTGAGCTGTCAATAGTTCTATCCTGTAACACTTGCTGACAGGACAGGAATAAAGGCTTCAGTTCTTCGTATGTAAGTTGAGCAGAGTGCCTTTATCATCTATTGTTCCACAACATTACATGACAAGGGCAGGGGAGGCAGCAGACAGTGGAGTGAAATGCAATATCAAAGAAATAAACATATGCATTTAATCCTCCCTCTTGTACGCCAGAATTTGAAAAGATTACCAAAGTGCTGCTTTAAATAACACATCGCTGTGTTCTTAGAAACTGTTAAAGCCTATTGATGCAATTTTTTTTTTCTGAAAAGCAGATTAGATATTACTGTTTATATATGGCTGTGTAAGCAATGCTCTGAAACAGTTCATGACCATATACAATGCAGCCAGGCTGTCAGTTAACCCTTCATGGCGAATGTGTCAGGAGAAAGGTAGTAGCTGCTGTCCATGGTGCTGATCCCTCTCTACTAAGGTCTTGGCTGGGCACTGAGCACCTGGGTCAGTTATGCACTATAAAGCTGAATGAAACAGATCTCAGTCTCTCAGGGTGTCCTTGTTAAATGCATACATGATAGTAAGGGCTGGTGTAGATGGAAGTTGCTGTCAAATACTGCCTTTTTTCATTGTAACCTAAAGGCGCTACTCAAACGCATTTGTTCAAACTCAAAACACAGCAAAAGGTACTGTTATATCTGTTTGTCTACAATGAGAATGCATCTCAATAGTGTCTGCTGTATCCAAAGCTAAACAGGTCATACACAGGCTCAGAACTGTCATCCACAGTTCATAGTTGAAGCAAATGGGAATCTGCTGACCTGCGTTTGATGAGTGCTTCAAATGCAGGAAAACAACATCCATCCATATGAGCCCTAAAGCATTATGCATTATTAAAATGTCCAATGTATTTATATAGCAACAGCATATATGGATATATCAGCATTTCACACTGATACCATTCCCATCAGTGCCTGTCTCACAGAAACTTACAATGTAATGTCACATGACACCAACACAAGCACATAGGGGTTGATTTACTAAAAGCGAATAGGCTGTTCACTTTGCAAGAGAATATTCAAGCTATACTTCCATCATCCAATGATGTGCAAGCACAAAAAAAAAATCTTTCTATTTTCCTTGCTTGTGATTGGGTATTCTTTGTGAAGGTGGATTTTTGCCAAGCAAAGGGAACATTGCCCTGTAAAGTAAACAGCCTATTTGACTTTAGTAAATCAACCCAAAACATTCTGCTGCAATATGAGTAAAGCAAGCTGCCCATAGCAGGGTTTGATTTTGGGAGGGAACTTCAGCAGCTTGGGAAGCACACTGGCATGATTTAAGATTCCAAAAGGACAGGGTTAGGCAACCTCGGCACTCCAGCTGCGGTGAAACTACAAGTCCCATGAGGCATTGCAAGACTCTGACAGCCACACATATGACTCCAGGAGGCAGAGGCATGATGGGACTTGAAATTTCAGCACATCTAGAGTGCCGAGGTTGCCTACACCTGCAATAGAATATTGAAAAGCCAGACTAAAAAAGGGGAAATTATTTATACTATACATAATCATTTTATTTTATCATTTGAATTAGGAAAATTACAGCTCAAAAGGAGGGGGTGGGTCAAACAAATTTTTACAGGAAAGGACAAGATTTACAATGTAGGTGCCTATATCTCTATATCTCTGAATGTCTGGTGTTGTGTCTCTTCCTACTATGTCTTTGTGAATGGCAAAGCAGAGTGGAAGGAGACACAACACCGGAACGGTTTTTCAGTCACACCAGCCCGCTAATGTAGGACACGGCCTGGCAGTACCGTGGTAGATATTCTATGCAAGGAAGAGCCTATTTAACGCATTTACTGCAGCAACACTAGCAAATAAAGGCACATGTAAAGGTTTAAGAGGGAATGCACATTTTTTAAAAACGATGCTGACTGGGGTTGGCCTTTAACTCTAATTTACAACTGGGTATTAGGGCTTATTCACACCAAATGCAGACCAGATCTGAGTTTCTGCACACGCAGTGCAGTGTGTTATACCGCGTTTTTGATGTGTTCCGGGCTGTTGTTTTTTTTTTATTTAAAATGGGCTTTCAGTGCGTTCCAGGGCATTTGCATGCGTTTTTAATGCGCTGGCATGCGTTCCAGAGCAGGTAAAATAAGGCTTGCTGCAGTTTTTTTTTACATGCTCTGGAACTGAACGCTGCGGTGTGAACTAGAGCCCAAAATACCATTGGAATACATTGGACGCAGTTTTGATCCGGTCTGTAACTGCTCTGCTCTGCTCTGCTCCTGGAACGCGCTTGGTGTGAACAAGCCCTTAGGGTATTTCTGTGGAAGGCATTTGAATAACATTTGCTATCATACTTACGGCTTGGTCCATGGATCTTGATTGGCTTGTCAGAGACTAAAGACAGGGAACAGTTCTGGCAAATACAGTCTTTGCCTCTGAATGTCACTTTGTCTCCAATTGGAAAAGGTTTCCTGAAAGGGAAAAGGAAAATAAAGCAAACTCACATAAATATGAGTTAGCACTTGAGAAAGATACACATAGGTTTCAAGAATACCTGTAGTCACATTAACATTGGGGTTGCCACAGCTGAACTTACCTTCTGAAAATTCTAGGTTCCTGGCTGTTCCCTTAATATAAAGACTTTGTTACTTTTTGAGTGAGTTCATGAGCATTTCTGATGTCACTCTGTATTGCAATCAGATGATCGGCATGGCTACCAGGAAACTAGCATTTTCAGAAGCAGGTTAACAATGACAGCCCAAATACATCTTTCAGAAAGGGTTTCCCTTCAGTATTAGGTGAGATATGGCATGTTGCAGCACCTCTTGGCTACTTATATAGCTATGACTTTGAGACATGAAGGCTCTGCTTCCTAAGGTGAACATTAATAAAGCATTAGGCAGAACAAGGAGGTCAATATCACTCCTATATAGACATCTGTGAGAAAATAGAGGTCCAAAACTGAACCAATTAGAAGAAAGGAAAATACAAATATAGATCAATTCACCATCAGTGTGGGCTATATGTGCTATAAATGAAAGGAACTTTTTATTACAGAAGTAACCATAATGAATGGTGGCCCGTATGACAGTGGAATATGGACAATTGTCCGGGACATGAAATTAAATCGAAATATGCACTTATGGAGGTGGTGGTTTGAGAGTGAGTACACCTCACAGCAGTATGCTGCAATGATAAAGAAGAACTCCAGGAATAAGAACTCTAAAAATGTACTCTTGCAATAGGACTACCCCGCACTGCAAGGGTTAGGCGCTCATTTTGTCTAACGTTAACTAATGAAAACATAGTCGCCTGTTCCCATGGGGCTGCTAGATCAGTCCACTGGGCTCCGGCAGTCTAAGTATTACTGATACCACCATGTCTAATGCAGGTCCATTGACTTGCATTAGCCGTGAGTACGCTGGGGGGCGGCCCACAACCAGAGCAGAGGGGAAGAGAGGTGAGAACTGGCCGAGGATCAGCTAAGCATATCTGCTTTATCTGACTCCCCTAGACTAAATGAGCACTTAACCCTTGTAGTGCACTCACTGCAAGAACACGTTTTTTAAATTCTAAGAGTTCTTCTTTAATGACAGTTCTGGCATTTTAGGTATGCTATGCAAAGGTAAGTGTTTTTTTTTCTTTTTTTGTTTTTTAATTGTTGTACAATAAAGAATATTTTAGATTTGTCAGTGTTTGTTCGTCTGTCTTTCAATGCTTAAGAGTAAATAATTGTACCCAGGATGTACTTGTTTTTAACGTCACAATATTTTTGTAGCCAAAAAAAGAAATCAGGCCACTAAAGTGGTAATTATAAGACTGACAATTGTATATAGTATTGTGTTATGTAAGTTTAAGTATCGATGCATACCTAGCCTTCTTAATATATTATGCGTGGAAGCTCAAACATTAAAGTGGGAATAACTCCTAATCTGCATTCAGTCTGACAGTCTGAACTGGGTCATAGCAATTACTTTCTTACTGATGTATGTGACGGAATAATTTTGCCTTACCTGACTTAAGTGACGATGATTCGTACAACTGATGGACAGGGGGTCAGAGTGTCACATTTAACCAGCTCTAGTTCAGTTCCTTCAGAGTGTCTGAAGCTGTCCAGGGGGTCTAAACAGCTGAGTAGTGTTTTATAGACTTTACTGGGGTTTGATTTCTTTGTTGGGAGTAGAGTGTATGCACAGCTGTTGTGCCGAACAACTTAAAATAGAAAGAGCACAGCTGCATTCCCAGCCTCACCCCATTCTGTCTTTCAGCACTTGCTGCGCTCGATTCATGTGAAAATCATTTTGTTAACTGCTTAGTCAATTCATATCTACCTGTACACCATGCAATGCCAGGCAAATGTTTGGCAAGGACTATTACTCCATTGTCATATAATACATCTCCAGTTACCTTATAAAATTCAGTGCACTTTCCAGAAAGGCCAATATGTTGATAATGTGTACATTAGTATACAATGCCTATCAGTTTTGGGTCACAGATATCTATAGCCCCATGACCTCATTTACAAATGACTACGGATGCCAAAGACATTGACATTTAGAGAGGCAGCTGCCAGCTACTTCATTCACTAAGTATAAGTTGATCCATGGCAATCTCTCCACTGATCATATTATATGCTACTTAATCTTGTACTAAAGATTCCATGCCACAATGCTACTAGTGATGATTGCTGCTGACAGATTCCGACTAGTATTCGTGTTCTACAAGACATTCAGATGGCAAAACTTTGTTGACCCACCTCCTGGGCATAGCACCATTTTATACCCTAGTTGGAAAGCTACATCTATACATAGGCGTATCATCAAGGGTAAGGAGGTCCTCAAAAGACCTTGGCTACTGGACAACTAATAAATGTGATACAACTGAACACACCCAAACTTCTGCTTCAAGTGTTTGGATGGCCACCAGTTCTGTAAACAATGTAACTAAACCAGTTTCAGTAATGTGGCCAGCAATATGCCGGCTCATATATTTAACTTTACTTTATTAAATGTCCCATTCAAAAACAAAGAATACATATAACAGTAATGACACCATACATGTTATCCAAAGCACCCCAGTCCTGCTGATTGCAGTGTTACATGGAAATAGGTAGTGATGAAATATCCATACATTAGACAAATACTAGGGTAGGTTTAGCAATTCTAGACCTACCTAGTTTGTATAAGGGACCACACTGTCTCACATAGGAAAACAATATCCACTTATCAAAATAGTGGATAAAATGTCCAGCTGTACAATTACAATGGCTTGATCTGCTATTTTATATTCTTGATTTGAACTACAGTCCACCACCCCATCTCTTCCTCTCCATAACATTGGAAGGAGGTAATCTGTAATTCAGAAGTAACCTGGGTACGGCTGATAGTACTCCTTGGAGATCAAGTGCAGTAGAGACACTGTAAAGACAGCACACTACAGAAAGTTACAAGCTCACTGGATTGTTGACAGAATTAAAAGGTGTCATTGTAATGAGATAATAAAAGTTATTCACGTCACCTCTCAGTGGTCATAATCTTATGGCTGGTTGGTGTGTGTGTGTACACACATATATATATATATTGTGATAATAATTATCTCATTACAATGACACCTGGAAGTGGGTGGTATATATTAGGCAGCAAGTGATTATTTTGTCCAGGTAGTTGAAGTGTTGTAAGCAGAAAAAATAGGCAAGTGTAAGGATTTGAGCCACTTGACAAGGGTCAAATTGTGATGGCTCAATGACTGGGTCAGAGCATCTCTAAAGCTGCAGCTCTTGTGGAATGTTCCTGGTCTGCAGTGGTCAGGACCTATTAAAAGTGGTCCAAGGAAGGAAAAGGGTCATGAGCGGCCAAGGCTCAATGAAGCACGTGGACAGCAAAGGCTTACCCACCTAGGCCGATCCAATAGAAGAGCTACTGTAGCTTAAATTGCTAAAAATGTTAATGCTGGTTCTGATAGAAAGGTGTCTGAACACACAGTGCATCGTAGTGTATGGCATTGCGTAGTTGCAAACCGGTCAGGGTGCCCCTGCTAACCTGTGTCCACCACTAAAAGGGCACATGGGCACATGACAGAGGCGTAACTATAATCCTCAGGGCTCCGGTGCAAGAAAATATGAAAGGCCCCCCCCATCAAAAAAAAGCACCATGAGCAAAGCCCTTTGTTTGTTTAAAGGAGACTTTTACGTTGCATGCAATAAAGCTGCATTTATTGCCAATTTTCTATTTTCTATTTTTTCTATCAAATTTCTATTGCTAAACCTATAGAAGTTTATTGTTAGGGTTTATATACACTTTAGGTTACAATAACTTTTAAGGTATCCTAGAGTAAACATAAAGCTGAATCTCATTCAGTATTACCTAGTGTCATTTAAGCATGTCTTAAGTGCTAGATAGCATGCCTTTTTAAAGGAGAATTATGTGGAGAGTGAAATACACTCTTCCCCATAATTAGAGCTGACGTGTGGCTACAGGAATACTCCTAATTGGTTCTGAGGAAGGAGGTGTGACCTCTGAAACGCGTAAAACCCTTTAGTACCAGGGAGGACGAACAGCCGGTGGATATGCACCTCTCGTTCTGACCCTTATATGGCTGTTTTTACTCGACTTTTGTGAGTACCTTTTTATACCATCTTTTATCTGTTTATTAAAAAGTTTTTATGCGATGGAGGCGCTCTCTGTGTCTTGTCTTGCAGTGCTGAGGTTTTCCTAGAACCTGGTGAGAGCTGCCTCGTTATCGCCCTGCACTCTGAACATTGCTGATTGTCACTTTTTGAACCTACATCTGCTGGCGCTGTGTTTAAGATTGTCTGTCACACTTTGGCTCTATTGATCAGGAACTGATAACATACAGCTGATCGTTCAGTTCCCGATGATCTCCCTGAAGAGAGCAGTGACTGTCAGTCATTGCTCGCTGCAGGCATTCCCCCCTCCCCTCTCTGTTCCTCCAGTGCCGACTGGAGGAAAGAACAGGGAGGGGGTGGGCACAGATGGCTCTGCTTCTAGAGAGGCAGAGCCAGCTGTCAATCAGGCAGCAGGGTGGATCCGCACCGCGGCTCTGTGCTGCAGCATGTAGCGGGCCAAAGCACCTCAATATGTTTAGTTTTGGTGTCACGGGAGTACATAGTACTATAGAGATCCTATAGAGAACTTTGGGCAAAAAAGGTTGGCCCACAGTTGTCTCTAAGTGCCACTGCAGCTTCAAGATTAAATCTGGGCCTTTATGGGTAAACAATAAAGGATATTTAAAAGATGCAGGCATGTCAACTCCATTACTATCAAAAACCAAAAAGGAGCAAATCACCACATGACTCACTGAGTCAGAAAGTGCAAAAATGAATCTAGTTTTGCTAATCTGCTTGTACCTTTTATTTCCTGTGCTGGCTAGGGTTTCCCAGGGTACTCCAGTTTCCTCCCACACTCCAAAGAAAGCTGGTAGGTTAATTGGCTCTTTATGTATGTATGCATGTGAGATAATGACCTTGGGTTCTAAGCTCCTTAAGGGCAGGGACCGATGTGAAATATGCACTGTGTATAGCGCTGCGTAAAATTGTTGGCGGTATATAAATACCAATAATAGAAAAATAAAATAAAAGCATATTAAAGCAAAACTGCCAGTTGGCATGGTCTGTGCATACCAGCATGCATTTATACAGGTCAATCAGCAGGATCAATTCACCTTTAGATCTGCTGAGGATCTGACACATTAAGAATGGATTTAGTCTTGCTTATCGTCAACCTTCATCAACGATTGATAACCTGACACATAGCACTCTGCTCTCCACAGTTCTGCAGAATATTGTATAAAAGTCTGTGACTACATTATTTCATAGATCCCACACAGCTCACTTATAGGTCAGAGCACACACAACTACTTCTTTTACCTGCACATGCTGCACACAAAACATTTGGGATGATATGTCCGTCCGAGAGCTGAAATAACTTCTCCTGTTATGAAATCTCGACAGCTATCACATCGAGTTCCGTAGAGCTGCTGGTAATCTCGTGTGCAAATGTACTCTCCATTCTTGAAGAAGAAGCCAGACTTGGCAAGGTCACAGCCACAAACTGTAGTGAAGAAAGAAGAGGCAGATTTCAGTTCATGGGACATGTAACCTACACGTGAATGTGACCCAGATATCAAACGGGCCATTTCAATACTGTCATCAGATCCATCTAATAAACATAACTATCTTTTTTCAGACTGTAACCAATCAATACAAGCAGCAATAATTTAAGTTCTCCCTAAATCATAGTTTACTTCCAGGAAATGATTTATCTGTGTCTTTAGCATACATGAAAAATGCATGATTTATTGATTATGCTGGCTAGACTAATGCAATAGTACCATTACAATCATAACAGTGAACTGCTGATTGATGTCAGTGCCCAAGTAGAGGTTTATAGGGGAAGGAACATGTACACTAATACTGAATGATGATAATCTCTCTGTTACATTATCATTCGTTTTGTCACTGGTACCAGTGTCTGGTACTGAAACAAATTGAACAAAACAAATTTAGTTACGAGTGCTGAAAATGAATGATGTTGAGTGATGTAAGCAAACAAAATAAAAGCCTTACTCAGAGAAATATGTAATCTGTGTTTATTCTGTGTCATTTATAAATTATGTAATAGGAATCTTCAGCAGCCATGTAATTTTCAAATGTCCTAATTTGTAATGTACATATTAGTAAAGGTCCACTTTTTTGGAAAAATAATAAATGCTGCTTCATAAAAGACATTTTTTTTTCAATGTATGATTTTTTTGCAAAGGAGCCAGTAAAGCATTGCAAAAGTGATAAGCGTGTCGCAGGTGCAATGCTCTGGCTCCTGCAGGAAAAATAAAAGGAATACAGGGGCACTGTGGCATACAGTAATTTGTATGCCACAGTGACTGATGGCAGTTGGAGTTTCTCCATTCACAGATCCTGTCCAAGGATTTGTGAACGGATGATACGGCGGTGTGGGCTAACCCATAAACAGCCATGCCAAATTTAAAAGCAGACAGCAGGAGAAAATGCAATTCAGGCAAATGGGGGGTCCTAACTTCTTAAGCCAATTAAGAAGTTAGGACCTGTCACTCATAGACTGTGGTGATGTGTGAGAGATACCATGATTGTTGATATGTCTGTCAGTTGTGGCCTTTTAACAAAGTGATGGCTCAATTACACCTAGGGATAATATAAATGCTTGTATCCAACAGTATTTGTGACCCTTTCTATTCATTACCAAATGGTTCAAGTCATATTGATAATGAATTAGAAAAGAGATCAGATAAACAATCATTTTGACAATTATGTACTAGGTAAGCCCTGAAGGACTTTAGTTCCACAGGACATACCTACCACTACCTACAATACTACCCCAATCTCAAAACCTGCTATCTCTTTTTCATTTATAAATAACTACCTTGCTCTATACCAGAAACATAATTTTAATTTTGCTATAAAAAGATATGTAAAATCTAAAATAGGTGTTTTGTATCTACTGCATCCATAGTTTAAAAAATAACTTATTTTTACTTTTTTTGCCATTGAAATATAAAAATGGTTAAATAACTTTTGGAGGATACTAACACCAAAAGAAGACATCGACCAATCTCAATCAAAAAATATATTATTTCAGTATACAGTATTATGCTATAGGCCTATAGTTGAAATATGAAAATTGCTATTGCCCATAAGCAGTAAACAGCTACATGAGCTAAATAGCATGAGCTAAAGAGGTTTACAATGTATATAATACATAATTTTATAATTTGATTGTCATTAATGGGCAAATGGGCATTAGCAGGAGGTTTGCCGAACTCAGCAAAATATAAGCTAAACCCAAACATAGCTCTGAATGCTATTGAGGTCTATGGGAGTTGGATTTTGTTTTGTTTTTCAAAGGCAATTACAAGCTTGACCATATTTGGTCAGTGAAGTCACCCAGATTTCTGACATTGTTGTTTACATTCCAGCAACGCTGGAGACCCATCATTCCAGAGGGAAAAGATCATTGGGTGCAGCAACTCATTGTGATGGTGCGCAGGGCATCACTATCATTGTGACTGATGTTAATCATTGCCGGATGATGTGATTGACTTGGATTTGAATCATGGGACAGTGTTTATTTTTTTCTAAGGTATGGGTTGTTTTAAAAAAAATGTTTTTACATTTTTGGGGAAATTAGCAACATAGGGTACTAACCCCATACTAATTTTCATGGCGGGAAGATATCTGGGGGTCCCCTTATCTTAATTGAGTCTTCCAGATTCCAATAAGTCCCTCCCACAGACCCCCACATTCCATTTGGTTTACAGGCTGTATGCGATGGTACGTGGGTACACGTTAGTACTTATACATTAGTGTAGCCACTTTTTAGGAAGGTAACTTCATTACCCTAGGAGTTATGGAATAGGAATTAGCATTGAAAGTTTGAGATGTATGAAAGTTCAGCTCTAGGTCAATATACCAGACTCACAGATGTGTATTCATTACACTGCTCTCCAGATTGTTTCTGACTTAACTATTTGTGACAGGGCCTAATCAGAAGACCAAGGGCTGGTGAAGGTTTATGATGCCCACATACTCCGTCTAACTTGTCTGGTTTCTGTCAAATGTGCTTTAAAGTGGACTGTAGTTTGTCAAATGTGTCATCTGCCTAGCATAGACAAGAGATTTTAATCTTAACATTTTGGTTACCGACTTGTGAATGCTGGGCAAAATTAGGGTGGCACTGTATTCAGTACTACTCCCCTATACTCTCCACATAGTGTTGGGTTCAGCAGACCCCACTATCATCACCAAAAAAGTTTTGAGTATTCTTTCTTGCAAACATAATTAATTCTACAAAATGTAAGATTCTTGGTTTTAATACATTATGTAATCGTAAGGGCAGGACAGAGAGAATCCCTTGCCCTAGTTCTTCACTTTGCACCTTTTTTTTTTTTACCTCTTTTTGTTTTATTCTCCAGTACTATTACTTTGCCACAAAAAAAAAATCTGTCTTTACTATCTAAAATATTTTGGCTTGAAATAATTCGGTATTTCCATTTCAAGCTCACCCACTACCCTGGTTTGTGGGCCCAAGCCCTCAGTATTGGATAGAGTGGGGAGGAGTTAGCTGACCTGCTGAACCTATTTTATTATCTGTGCCCCTGCCTGGGAAATTCATTCCAGACCATTATTTGTCCTGGGATTAAAATGTGGGAAAATCCAACATTTTTAGCAGTCACCAAGACATGAATGAAAGGGAAGTGTTATGATGGGGAAACTTGTTGCTCGGACAACTAAGAGATCATTTCACTCACTTTGTAAAGATTTGTTCTTGCTTTCTGTTGTGTCTAAATGACAGGAACTGGAGATACATTTACCAAATGGGATACAGGTGGCAGGTATTTTAACCCTTTCCTAAAACTTTAAAAAAAAGTTTGGCTTTAGATATAATATTATTAATGAATCAAATGTGTTACATTATGCTATTTCATTGTGACACCCGAGCCCAAGATTGCATTGGTTTGTACAGTATTCTTAAGAAAGGAAATACATTTTTGTTACAATTAAAACTATCCTTGAGGGATATGACATCAATAAAACTGGACCAGCTTGTGCACATTAAAGATTGTGTCTATTCTCACTGCTTCAACGCTTGGGTTAAGGAAGAGCTGTAATCTAAAGCTGGCCATACACCTTACAATTATCTGCAGATTTTCTATGGTCAGATGGGAAAAGGTGCAACAGATTCCTCCATCTACACTTAACTGTGTGGATGAAGTAATCTCCACCTAGGCCAATCTGTAGATAATTGTAAGGTGTATGGGCACCTTAACACAGAAGGTTACTCTTTTAAACTGAGGAGCTGTTGCTATCACTAGACAGGGACTATTGAAATGTTGAGCCAATTTCCTTGCAGCCCAGGACCTGAAACATTGAAAAATACACCAAAAACCTTCTATTTTCCTGTGGGAACAAAACTACTAGCCCATGTGTACTGATCTACAAAGCTGAACTGCAGATAAAAAGTCTATAAAAATGTATCAGCACATTAAAAGATTTAAAACAATGCTGCAATACTCTATTAATTCAGAGACCCCTCACAGTACTTCTTGCTGCCACATGATGGCCACTATCATTTAAGCTACTTTCTCTGGGGCCAGGCTGTCGCGTACCTGCCCCCAGCCTGTGACTGGACAGTGAAAGTAGAAGCAGCACAATGATGACTGCGCATGTCTGTCACTTTGATTTCTCCTTCATGACTTTCTCCTTTACTTCTTGTGCTGCTTCCTTCTATGCCACTCAGAGCTCTGCATGCCAAGTGAAATACACGTACTTATGCTGCTTGCAATAAAGTAGATTTAAAAAAAAAAAGGAATTGCCGACTGGTGTGTAAGGAAGTTACATTATCAGGTCCCAGCCAAACAATTGGCCGAAGGCATGAAACCTGGAAGAAGACCGGGACAAACATAGAAGTTCCGCTGAGGGAGAAGTGCAGCGCTGGAAAGGATCGGCTTGGCAGGTACTCTTCCTGGAGTTCAGCTTTAAATGTTAATATCGGTTAGATATGTCAATGTTATACTGTATATACTAAAAGGTGTACCTATTTGCCCTAAACAACCCGGCAATGCTTGTAACTTTCATTAAGATAATGGAAGCTAAGTCTGTTTTGTGTTCGCAGCAGCTCAGCTATGACATGACATGGAGAAGCAGAGACTAAATGTAAAAAATTACTAAAATCCATGCATGTGTGGTAGGCAGTCACAGGCGACAGATCATAGATGTAAGCTTTCTTACACAGAAATGAATGAAGTGTTTGTAATACATAATGCGCTTATAGATAATGGGGTTATTTGTAGATATAAAGAGCTCTTATTGGAATTTAAGTAATGCCATTTCCCTTGCATTTGTTTTGTACAACTCAAACTAACTGTATAATCTCCCGTTCTACACTACACAGCCGTCCTTATCCTGTGCTGTGAAGATCTGAAATACGGCTAAGCTCCGGTGCAAACCTCAAGGGGTTAATAGTGTATGTACTTTAAAATCAATAAAAGCCTATAAAGCAAAGAATGGTTAGCGATGTAT